TTGCCAGCGATACCCTATGCCCATCGATTTTTTCTTTCTTTTTCAACCCTCTCCTCGCCTGCCATCTCCCTCTTCCCTCCTGTCTTTCCCTTCCTTCTCCACCCATCTCTCCTTCTCTCCATTTGCGTCAAACCCCTTTCTCTCGCTTTTTCTACCTGATTCTCTCTTTTCCTTGCCCCACCCCTCGCACCGCTGTGCCGTGGACATTAATAACGGCCACGGCTAACCACCGTCAACCCCTTTTGCCAGCGTTACCGTGTCCAGCCACGGAAAGTGCGAGAGTAATAATAAAATATACGAAATGTAGGCGACCATCGTCACCGCGTCCCGGCTCGTCCCTGCGAAAAACAAACACCGCGACGCTTTGGTGTATTCCTTCGTTATGCGGCGAGGGTACGACGATCGTGAAAGATTAGGGTAATTTGAGTTAAATAACGACACGTCGCGCGAGCTAAGTAACGACCTAAGGGATCTTGCTTTCGATGCTCTCCTCGTCCGAACACCCACATTATGATTTTTTACGATTTTTCTATTGCGAATCGTGTTTTATTTTTCTATTTTTTTCCTTTCTTTGTTTTGGCTTTCTTTCTGGTATCAGAACTCACGTACTGGCCTCGATTCCTGCCGGCCCATTACTTAGCTAGACCCCGAGTATCATTCTGCAACTTCGATACAAAGAAATTGAGAATTCCATCGTCGTCTGCCCATAAAATGAATTTTCTGAACGTGTACATGGACCAAACTGTGAAATAGAAAATTCTAAAGATCGAATCATTTAGCTACTTGAGACCTGGCTGTTTGAAGACTATAACGGGGTCCTCTGTGCCTTTTTCTAGTTCCACAACAGAATACTGTGGTTGTACGGAAGCCATTTAATCTGGGTAAAATTTGTCGTGATCTACTTTAATTTCTCCTATCCCTTTTCTTCCATCCATCGAAATACAAACCAAATCTTTGTTGGTGATGAAAACACAGCATGTCGTATATTTTCAGCTTTAAGGTATTGCCATTTAAGGTTCTGAGAATGTATGACATACGATATTTTTTCGAGATATATTTTTCATTTTTGTTCATTATTTTTTCTAGTAAATCGTGTATTTCGTAATCCGATAAACGAATGAAGTAGGATTTTACAGCTATATACAACAACTGGATGAATTGAAGAGAAGTTTTGATAGAATTTTAAGTGAATATTTTAGTATATACAATACCGGACGAAAGAAAATTTAAAGGTAATTTTTATGCTAATTATATAATAGTATAAAGCAGTAGAATAATAGATGTAATTATATTTATATAAAATTCATAACTGTTGTAAAAATAATTTCTTCTTGCAAAATTATGATTCCTTCGTACCGTCTAAAAGATGACGTTTATACTCATTATATAATAGTATAATAAATGTTGTATAATAATAGAAGTTATTATATTTATTTAAAATTCACTACTGTTGTAAAATATAATTTCTTTTTACAAAATTATGGTGCCTTCGTACCGCCCAACATTTAAACTTTTTTTTGTCCGCCACTGTATTTTGAATGTGATATACTTATCGAATATTCAGTATGGTTTCGTTTGAATTTGTCTTGATTGATGCAGTTAGAGAGATCAACTTTGATACTTATATACTTGTGTTTTTCATTCGTTAAAATTGTATTTCTTGCGTAAAAATAAATAAATTGTTGTTGTCATAATTCGCAAGTATAATTGTAAATTGCCAACTGTGTGAGAAATTGTACTGTACCATGTTACTCTATCTAATAAAAGAAACGAAGTAGAGAAAAATAAATTGTTCCTTGGAAAAATGGCTGTAAACGAATGCAAGGTTGTATATCAATTTTCCAAGTAGGAATTGAATATGAAAGTGCATATCTTCCATTACTTGCATCTTATATTTTTGTTGTTTGATCGGAGAATATTATGATATTATGAATAGCGTATGTAGTGAATGAAACAATTTAAACAGATTCGAAATAATAGATTGGTATGTAATTAACTAAATACTATAGTTTAATACTATATAGTATGTACGTATTATTAGTGGAGCTATGTGCGAACAAATGGGGAGGGAAGATAAACGCAAACAGACAAGTAGGATATTCGTAGAAGTAGTATAAGTAAGCGTATGGTCAGTCATGTTCTGCAGGCGCATCTGTCAAGTGGTATACGTAGACCTTGGATCAGACAAGAATTTTATCTATCATTTATATATCGGATTTTAATGTTATCTATCAGGTATAGAAATGACAATTATTTTTACTGAAAAAATAGCATAATTGCTGCATAACAGCAATTAAAAATCGCTTAACACTTTGACTGCCACGCACTTTGTATTCGATACGCTCAGGGGGCCACGATAAAATTTCCAATATTCTTACGATGTAATAATCAAACAATATGGCAAAAAAAAATGGTGCAAATTATTAATGTCTTTCATTCAAACTTCTCTATTTAAATTCTTCAAATTTTCAAAAAATAGTTCGAATAAAACAAATATAAATTTAACCCTTTGCACTCGACAATTTTTTTGCTAAAGATGAGTAGAAATTCAAAGATTCTCTACTAAAAAACTGACGATACTTTTTCGAGCAGTAAATAAAGAATTGTATAATAATAGAATTGTAGAATTATTTGATCTCGATACCTGGCACACTGTTACATTGTATTAAATTTGATATATTAATTAATATCGATCTTCCAAATTTTATGAAATGGTGACTGAAGGTCGCCTCCCGAGTGCAAAGGGTTAAAAACTTGGTATCGCCGGCTCACTAGTGACCACCATGGTCCTACGAAGGAGACAAGCGCTGGTCACTGACCACCATGGCAATCAACGTGTTAACTACTGTGAACAAATCATTTTTATATGTAATTTTCACATCTTATAGTAAAAATTAAAAGAAATATCATATCGAAAATTTGTTCAAAATTGATTAAACTGATAAAAAAATAACTATGTATGTATGTATATATATACTTTTTAAAATATAATATACAATGTGCGGTGACGGTAAAGACTACGAATATAGATATCTATCAACTAAACTTTTACGACTACAACTAATAACACGATTATAACTAGCAACACAATTACAACTAACAACACGAATACAACTAACATCACAATTCTTCACAACTCTCTCTCTAATAATTCTACTACGAACTCTAACATACTACACCGTACTACGACATACTACCTCCTGCCTACTCTCGCCCTTGCATCCCTATTTAAAACCATACATTCTATCCTCTTTCATACCTATTCTCTCTTTCCCAATCACACTTTCCCACGCACTCCTTGCAATCTTACCCTCAGCGGGTCACGTAGCCCAAACACTCAAACGCATTCCTGAAGACACTCTTCACTTTCATCCGATACATTCATAAACATCCCGTCCACACGATCCTAGCGCACAGTCATTCGTCCTTTCGCACGCACTCTAGATAACATGCTCGACCCACTCATCCTTCGATACCACAGTATATATATATATTACTAATTTTACAACCGAGAGAATAAACTGCAACCATTTAAATATCATTTTGAAGCGTTTGGCAGCATTTTCTTCTCGAAAATAGTTATTAATTTTTTAATTAATATTGATATAAGTACATGGTACGTTTGATTTAGTATACTTGACAAACAACTATACGGAGTGTTGACTACTACCAAAGGATACCTCTACAAATTCATAAACTTTCCTGAATTGGGACGTTCTCCCATTTATTTAAACTTTAACGAGGACACGCCTAAAGACGGGTGGACGAAGCGTAGAAGGACGAGACAGTTGGAAAAGAATCTTTTTTCTTATCACATTTTTTAAAATGCTTCTCTTGACTTAAAGAACTCTTCAAAACTTTGAACTTTGTAATACGGAACTAAATTGAAATCTTTCTGCCGGAAGTTACGATCAGTTTATTACTATCCAAATATATTTTTACACGAAAATAAGTTACTTATTTGCTACGCTGAGTGGTTCGCGCAACTTATATACGTCGAATTAACTTTTAAATGATCGAAAAATTTTGTACACTGTAGGTGTATGATTTAGAGGGACAGTTTATATACCGATGATTGTTAAATCGTAAGTTTCAGTGATAAATTCTGACATTTATCATAGCGAGATAGTAAAAGTCGAAAAAATGTTTATAAACACTTCAATTTCGAGCTTCTACCAATTTTGGTAAATTCTAAGATTATAATAAATTTTAAGATTTTAGAATTCTAAGATTAAATTCTAAAATTAAATTGTCTACGATAAGACACTAGTTGTATTATACGATGATCGTCCATAGTATGAGTTGAGTATAATAGCACCTTCATCCACGTATTCGTAGTAAACCTATGAATTATTTCCTAATTTGCAATTATTTAATCATTTAACGATCCTATTTTTTAATTATCGATTTAATTTATCCTTGACATATATATCATATTATTTTAAATACCTTGATTTAACGTAAATATTCCATTTAGTAAATATAATAGTAAAGCAACAAATGTACACGTTTGTGTGGATAGAAATGAATACCAATATCTTCCATGTTTTTTAACAATTTAGAAATTAATATATTTAGATAATAATATTTAAATATTGACAACAATTCTAAATAAACTATTTTTAAACATAAAGATTGAATCTTGAAAATTCTTTTCTCTCTCTCTCTCTCTCACTCTTATTAAGTCATATTTACTCTATAATGATTCTCACGTAACTGTTTCATTCTGGCATATTCTTCTAAACACTTTTTATCAACATTCACACTAGATTCCACTCGCACATATTATATTTATATCATACCAAATAACTTTCATTTATTCTACCTTAATACCATTCACACATATAAAACCAACAGTTCAAATACTTTCATGTACGAGTATGTATCCAGAAGTTTGAACTCTTCCTAGTAATATTCTTTAATATTTTACGTGGTAATTTGGTACCTTATATTGGCTGGTATTTAATAAATATCTGTATATATTGTGCTTCTAATTTCAGAGTTTACAACGAAACGATGGATATTCGGAAGGCAAGGTGGCATCCAGGATCCACGAATGATTCTCATTTGTTAGTTCTGACTTCAGAAAATACATTTCGGTAAATAAGTAATTTTATTCTTTTTTTTTTTAACAATAGCATTTCTGTACTTGAGAGCAAGACTAATATTGGCCATTTTTTTTTTTTGTTCATGATTAAGTTACGTAATATACAATATTTTTATTACACTGCTTTCTTCATAATTAAATGATATAGTTGATACTGTAATATATGGTACCATATACCATGTTACAATACAGTGTTAATACTCTGTACTATGCTGCTATGCGACTATTGTATGGTATAATGTTTAGTATGCCATATACTTTATTGTACATATATTTAGTTATTTATTTATTTATTATATTATACATATATTTTTTATTTCAACTTACTGTTATCTTGTTATTTAATCAAGATATTGGGGACCTGTTTATAAATAAATAGAACGTAGTGAAACTATATTAAATGCAAAATTGCCTTACAATTAGTATCATACAAGTCGAATTGTTTTCAATAACAATTTTATCTTTAATTTTTCAATAAGTATATTTCGAATTTTCTTAATTTACGATGAAATCTACCACATATTATTTTTCTATTACAAAAGGAGAAGCTGAAGAAAAGAAGGCATTTGAAATTTTAAATGTCGTCTGGTTTCGAGTTTTAAAAGCTAGCTTTGAGACAATTGCTTTTTAAAAACTCATTCAGTGAAGAATGCAGAATTTAAGAATAAGGAATTTAAGTGGTAGAATGTGAAAGTAGTAAACGACGCCCTCTGAAACAAATTCTTTGCAAGTTATCCCGATTACGAATGGAAATAAAAAATATAGTTATTGACAAATACAAAAATTTTTGTAATTCTTATAGTAAATACCGGATGAGAGTAAAAATTATTATAAGAATTTGCAGTATGGAAAACTTAAAGGTAGAGATGAAATGAAAATTAGTGAATAAAATTGAATTGAAAGAAAGAGAGTTAACATTACGTATGTTAATAATCAAATATTTATGAAAAATTTGTATTTATCATATCAAATTCTTTTATTTGCGATCTTCAACTGGCCATCATTTTCATGCCTTTAATTATTGAAAATGATGATAGATAAATTAAAATAAAATAATTCATAACGCGTTATTTATTATTCCTTTACCATATGGCAAGAATAAAACCAATATTGAATAATTTTTCTGTTGTTATAACCAAAGTAAATCTACTTAGTTCTCTATAATAATAAAGAAAATAGTTATTAGTTACAAATTTTTAAATAACAGTATCAGTAACTTTATTTTGTCATTGATCGTACTTCCAATTGACAAATATCATGTTCAATGAATTCCATATATCAAACATAATATTTAGTTAGTTATTTTAAACTGTGTCTTGCGAATTGAGAATATAAATTTTCAACTTGAAAAAGGTTTAAAAGATATTATAAATATTATAAATATAAATATTCTAAAATGTTACAAATATAAATATTCCGAAAAAATATGAAATATTATAGATATAAATATTCCAAAATGTCACAAATATAAATATTCCAAGAAAATATAAAATATTATAGATATAAGTATTCTAAAATGTTACAAATATAAAGATTCTAAAAAATTATAATTATAAATATCAAATATAAGTGCTACGAAATATTTAAAAAAATATATATTTTAATATTATAAAGTTACTTATGTTTTAATTTTCACCCAGTTTATACGAATGCGAATTTGGTAGCAGACCAAGAATCATAAAAAGCTGGAAAGTTGGTCGTGTACCATTTAGTTCACCGTCAAAGATACCAGACTTCACCTCTTTAGGCGACACCGCAGTAGATTTCGATTTCGCTACACCCACCCTCCGTAACCCGGAAATGTTCGTCAATAAAGACATTAATAAGGTATAGTATGAAGACGTGAATGATACCACGAATCGAAATTTGATTAGTAATTGTTTACAGGATAACGTGGTTGATTGGAATCAAATCGAATGGCCCATTCTGGTTCTCCGTGGAAATGGGGAGGTGCTCATCGTTCGTGGCAATATTTTGCATGATGCGTATGTATCTTTTATATCATTTTACATTATTCTATATTATTTATACATAAAATTCTTTCCAATATCTTCTCCCTTTTTTCCTCTTTCCTTCTTGAGTTTCTTATACATCGAAAACATTATCTTTCATTTTATAGAAGAATACAGTTTAACGTGCTTTCGAATTAAATTCAGTAAATCATACTCTTCGAGAAAACACTTGTGATTTAATTTGAGGAATCGAGATGATTTTGAAAATTGGAAAAAAAAATTGCAGAATTTAAATTCAGTTAATTCCCAATTTTTAATTACTGGATGGGTAGAAATACACGAGGATTTTCTATGATTTAATATTTATGAGTTTATATTTAATATTTGATATCTTTATAATATTTATTTATTATAATTTGTAGCATATTTTTGGAATTCAAGAGTAAGTGCATGAGAATGCTTGGGCCTTCCTCGAAAATGAAAGATAGTAAACAGCGACCTCGGGTTCGGCTCGAGCGTTTAGGGTGATATTTGGAGTGTGTACGAAAGGACAAATGATCACGCGCAAGGATGAGTATAGATAGGTTATTTATGACCGTATCGAGTGCGAGCAACGAGCAAAAATTTAGGAATGCGTCTGAGTGTTCGAAGTATCTGGCCCACCGAGAAATGAACGATCAAGAAAGAAAGCCTGCGTATGGAAGAAGAGAGACTTTAACCCTTTGCACTCCTTTATCGAGTATGACTCGACATCACTTTTTATCACAGGAACTCCTATGTCGAGTTACACTCGACATTTTTTAAATCTTTATTTGGTGAACAGAAAATAAGTAACTACTTGAATTACTTGAATTCAAAATATAAATTACAACAATGTTTGAGAGCTGTATGTAATATAATCAATAAATAAAATTCTTTGCAATAAGTGGTAGTCGAGGAACTGTTCTGTGATGTTAATATCAAACAAAATACTTAAAATAGTAGGGAGTTATTGGCAACGAAGTTGAAAAATAATTCGAAGTGCAAAGGGTTAAAACAAGGGTGCAAGGGCGTGGGGTAATCAGTGTGGAGAGTTGAAGTTTATGGTCAGAGTGTCAAAGTCAGTGTACAGAACGCATAGAATAGAAAAAGTGTTCAGTTGAGTATTAGCGTTGTGTTATCAGGATAGAATTAGATTAGCCTTAAAACAGTAGCAAGCTACAGTTCACCTTTTAAATGTACATTATTGTTTTATTAATCCAAAATCATGTTGTTGCCCCCTGCGTATCGGTTCCCTACTTTCTCTCTTATTTCCCACCTCTACAAATTTATAATTTCTGTTTTAATTTCAAAATTCCTTATTATTAATTGCTTTTCTTAGATATTTTTAATGGTTTGTAGCAAATATAATACACAATTATCTTGTTCCTTTCAGTAAGAATAAGTTACATTCATACAAATTTTTGTTGTTAAATTTTTATTTTAATATATATAAGAGTTATGATTACATTCATTTAAAATAAAAATATAAATACAAAACTCTTAAATTGGCAATAATTGGCAGCTATAATTGTAAGAGATGATTTAAATATTCTAACATATTAATTCAATTGATTTACTTTATATATAATGAATTTATTATTCAGATATACAAAATTTCCAATATTTACCGAATTTTTTAAATTTTAATCAATTTTATTATTAAACAAATAAAAGGATGGATGGATTTTTATTTTATTCTCGTATACATTTAGTTCTTCTTCTTCGATACATTATAATATTCTGTAAAAATTTCATATCACTGCAATTCATATTTTAATATAATAATTACATTGTACAACAAATTTTAACTTTTCCTCAAATCTGTAATATTCATTGGGTAACTCTAGTAGAGTTTACCCACATGAATACGAATCTGCAAACGAAATTACTCTGTCAATCATGGATTTCAGAAAATATGAGTTTTTCTAACAACGCATGATTTTTTAGCTGAAATAAAGTATTACATAAAAGATAAGAACGTTAGGAGGTTTATTGTTGTCTTAAAAGTTAGGTGATACGAAAGAACAACGCGTCTTCGTTGTTGTACAATTTTTAATTAAAAACCTGTGTTTTCTATCAAAATTACTTCTTCCGTGAACTTTAGAACACCCTGAATATATTTATCTCTTTCTTATATTCGCAACGGTGTTATTTATTCATTGTTTTGATCTTCGTTTATGATTTTCATACTGTCATAAACTGCTAAAATTAATAATAAAAGTTATTTCCGTCTAATAGCTGTATCTTTTATATTTATATCTCTTTTATGTTATTTATATATTTTTATTATTTTTATTTTTATTTTATTTTATATATTTTTTATTATATTTTTTATTATATTTTTTTATATATTTTTATATTATTTATATTATATATCTTTTTATATTATTTTTATATTATTATATTAAATAGCAAAGGATTAATGCTTTGAATTTTCCCATTACGATGCAATTATAAAAGTTCACAAATTAATCACAGAAATTGAGCAATTTGTTAATTTTCTACTGCCGAATTGATTTATTAAAATGTATCAGGAGCACCTAACCAGAGTTAGTAACCTATTCGAGTAAAATCAGTGCCATCGGTTTTGGACTCGAAACTCAGATTCGTTAATAGGAATAAAAAATATATGAGGTGCACTTTGGGACAACCACCTAGCGCCATCTATGTTTGTGATACCGAACCCGAAAAATCTCGCGTCAAAAATCATAGATGTCACTGATGTTACTCGAGCAGGCTACTAACTCTGGTTATGTACTCCTGACACATTTTAATAAATCGATTCGGCAGAGGAAAATTAACAAATTACTCAATTTCTGTGATTAATTTATGAACTTTTACAGTTGCATTGTAAAGGCAGATCCTTCAAGAACTTTTCCATATAATTTTGGATATAAATATATTGCTAATTAATTAATTATTAGTAATTATTGCACAGAGTGTTTGAATTTTTGCCGTACATAGTAATAGTTTTTCATTAATTGCTATCTTCTGCGCAATTAATTTATAAAACTTCATGCACGCATTATAAAAACAATGTTCTTGCGAATCTTCTGATATAATTTTTAATCACATTTTAATTCTAATTTCGTCCATAATTTAATATTTTAATGGAAAATTGTGCTGGTTGTTGTTATCAAATAACACCCGCCTTCAAATAATTGTTAATAGCATACTAATTAACATCAAATTATATACCAAAATAGCATAAGAATGTTACTCAAAGCTTCAGCTTTGTGATGAGACTATAAAAGTTCATAAATTAACTACAGAAATTGGATAATTTGTTAATTTTCACAGCTGGAGCTACTCTGTCTTTTTCTAACCATCTTCTCTCTTTGTCTGTCATGCCACACAGATTTTTGCAACCTCCTTACGCATTCTGCGTTCCTGTTACTTTCTTGATACACACATTATTTCCACCAGAAATTGGAAAAGTGGAAGTAACTGATTCATTCAACTGTAGTTCATTGATTTCTCTTATTATTTTTCATTGAAATAACCTTTAGCCATGTTTATGTAGGGATACTGTTTGATTGGTAAATGTAAAGAATAAGAGATGTTATTTTATATTAAAATCTATATTTATTATGAGCTAAATGAAACTAGGAGTAGTAGACTAGGATCTATGATTACGCAACCGACCGACACTCTCACGTCAAGTCTCGCTGAAAAGTCTATAAAGGACTGTCTCAAGACAGCCCGTGTAGCCCTATTTAAACCTGGCAGTCTTTCTTCTTTCACGCGCAGACTTTCTTTCTCGATCACTCATAAACATCCCGTCTATACAATCCTTGCACTCCGTCACTCGCGCTTTCATGTGCACTCCAGATAGCATCGTGCACATTTGATCATTGATTTGACCCGAGGCCTTATTACTGTGGGCATGGTGGGCATGGCGTATTTAGGGTATAAGGTCACCGCTTGTGACGAGTAACCGCGTGCAAGGATCGTATGAACGGGATATTTATGGCAATATCGAGTGCAAGTGAAGAATGAAAGTCTAGGAATGTGTCTGAGTATTTAGAATACGTGACCCATCGAGGGCAAGGCTGTGAGGAGTGTGTGAGAAACGCGCGATTGGGGAAGAGAGCATGAGTATGAAAGAAAATAGAGTGCATGGTTTAAATAAGGTAGTGCAAGGGCGTGAAACGAGACAGTTCTTTGAAAGATAGTCAGTGTGAAAGCCGTAAGTCTAGAATAAGTTAGTTCATAATAAATCATATTTATTATTTACCACCGTCGTTTTGCTGTCACCCAACAATCCTGCATTATCCGTCATCAGCTAGATAGGCCCAAGTGTTCTCTTGGACTCACTCTCAAACCCTAGCATCTTGCATTTACATCACTGTTTGCTAACACGTATTTGATCAATGTTACGTGTACTAATATTTTAAGATATCATTCTTTCACACGTGCTTATTAATTTGATTAAGTCATGAAAACCCAGTGGTATCGGGATCACTCTCTATGTACCCTCCAGCCGACGACAATTACGGAATAGACTCCTGTTCCATCATGTGCTTGCAAACTACTCCTCCGATGGTAATCATCGCAATGTGTACTGGGAAAATTTACCATGCGATTCTGCTGAAAGAAGATTTAGTCGATAACCACAACGATAATGAGGTAAATATTTTCTTTTCGTAATTGGTAAAGAAAATGTTTGAGGAAAAGTGAAGTGAAGAAATATAAAAGTTTTCACAGGGAAGAGATACGAAGCTTCTCAAACACAAGACGTTTTGTAACAGTGTTAAGTTAAATTCTGAAATTTAGGGATTTTCTTGCTCATTATATTCTGTGTAAAAATGTAATGCTTAGAATACACAAAAGTATCCAAAGGCTTGTTTAAAAAATTGCAGATGAGAAGGTCTACAGTGATTATATTGTTTATTGTCCTCACTACTTTGTTTGTATAATAAAAATTATTTTCTACATGAAAAAATTAATGCCTTCTTAAGGATAATAGTATCGTAATAATAAGAGCTATTTTGTTAATGTTAATAAGAATTTATTTATCCTGAAATAGTCGAAGTTTAATTAACAAAGAAATAGATCACTCAAAAATTAACACGTTAACTGCTGCGATTGATTCGACAAATCTGACCAGAAATGCCGAATCATTGAAACTAAGTACTTCATTTTATAAATTTTGACTAAAATTCGATATTTTGGTGGTTTTGGTAGTTGTAGCTCCTATTCTTTCAGAAAAAGAAACGTTATGTTCCTTTAGATTGCACGTGCTTATATAATACTTAGAAAAAGTGCGTTGATAATTCTTCTGTTTAATTATCTCTTTGCGGCACAGGATTTCAGATAATAAAATAGACCCCATGTTGCATAGAAATTTTACTGCGTTTTAAATGAAACAAAATTGGTATATTTTTACTAATAAAGGAATCACATAATGTAAAAATATAAAACCAGGAAAAAAAGATTGTCGCAATAAACCTTCCACTTGCAACAATCGATGAACCTGTACTGGCATGTCGAATGTTGCCAACACGAGTAAATACATTTATAACATTTATTGAAGGTATTACCAACTGCTTTACATAATAAGACGAAATATAAACCTATGCGCACGCAGCTATTGCAATATTTCGAGGGGGGACTAAAAATGTCCCATCATACATTACGGTGCATCAAAAAGGTGGGACACTTTTAATCCCACCGTGCCCCAAAGAGTTAAAACGTGTAATTTCGAAGAATGCGATAGGACGAAAATTTGTCAATTATTCGGAATTGATTCGTTATTAATGTTTAATCGATATCTATGATTTTCAGATACAGTATGATTCCACATATAGTCTTTACAAGCGAGAAGAAGCATTATACGTTTACGAATGCGTTGAAATAGAGCTTGGTCTCTTTTTCACGGATAACGATGAAAAATATAATTGTCCGATACACCTTCGATGTGATAGGGGTAACAAATCAAGGTAAATTTTGATAGTTTGAATAAAATATATATCTCGAAATATATATATCTTGAAATGAAATATACCACTGAAGAGGATTTATTCGTTAGGTATTTTTGTTCTCACAATGCTGGGATCCACATGATCACTCTTCCCATGGTTTCTGAATTAGAAGAGTACATCAATGCACCCAAAGGTAAAAAAGATTGATTAGTTTCAATATATGTACATATGGTTACATCTGCAAGAAGATTTAAGAAATTGCTTATCTTGATGGAGTAGAACTAGGATCTAAATTTTAATTTTAATTGATTTCAACGAGAATTTGTTTCGAATGAATGGAAGGCAAAAATAATCAGAATAGTATTTGAACATTCGTGGATAATTTTTTTTTTCTATCATCTTAATTCTAAATACTTCGAATAAAATTGATCAGTCATGCATATTTCGTTAATACGTATTTACTTTCACGATTCGAACTCCACTTGGACCATTTGAATTTGAAAGAAGAATATATAACAAATAACACAAATTACTAAGCAATAACTAACCTATAGACAAGTACTTAAAGGATTTTGTAAGATTTATATCTTCTTGAAAAATAAGAGAAAATCAATATACATGTTATATTTGATAACTGTTTCTATGTGTAAATTTTTGTAGAAAACGACGCCGTTCGTCTACCATCACTTTCGAATCAATCCAGTTCACAATACTTAATTTGTAGAAGAACTAAGCACACGGAAGCGAACGAAGCTACACCAATCCTTGGATTCGGACTTCTTCAGGAACCATGTGTCTTAATTGCTTTATTACATACCGGAGATATCGTTGCCCGTTCTGTTATCGATCTGTATTACTTTCCAAAGGTTGAACCTCCAGAGCCTATAATCGACAAGAAGAAAAAAGTGAGTCATACTTTCACTTAAATTTGTTTTTATTTTCAGCAAGAACTTGTTAATACCCGTGGCATTTGATCAATAATGTAGAAATTACCTTGTGGATAGAAGGGAAGCACACAGTACATGTAAAATTGGTGAATATGTGTAATATTTAATTGAGATATAAAGTATGGTGCAGGAAGTCATACAGACACACCCTGATACCATGGGACCCTAACAGAGCAATACCTCACCTCTGTCATAGTGCTAGGTTACAGTGAGCACACCTGCCCACGGCAGAGTCCTCTCGGGTTACTCTGAGACAGGTTGTCAACACCATACACTTTGCAAGTCCAAACTAACCTTCGCACTAGGACACTCTATGAGCACACTCAATATCTGTGTCCCTGTGGCTGATCTATACTGTAACTGATATCTGAATTATGCCCATGCATCAAGCATACGAACTCTCTCTCTAACCTGCCAAAAGAGGAGCGCCCTCGCCATTGGCAGTTCGAATCGATCACCTTCAAAGGGTATGGGACTTCCTCCACCATCAGTCCTGATGTGGAGTAAACCCCTTCTTCAAGGTCAAAGCCTTTGCGGTTCGCCCGCATGCGATCGCGGCTGTCACCCTTGGTTTATAACTCCGAAGACCGAGAACCTAATCCAGCACACTTGACCTAGGCCCCATCCCTACAGGTCCATTATCTGCTGAATCCTAAATGCACCATACGCCTCGTGTCCGATGACCCGTAATGCCGAGAAATGAACTATTGAGTCGAACCTGACGCCTTATTCCACACAGGAACACTTCAGCTATCGAAGCCTATAATTAGGCTTAATAAATGTCATTCATTCACCATTTCCACAGTAACGTTATTTCAGAAAGTAGTTAGTAAAATATGATTAGTCGTATAAATTTACTTGATACTTAATTAGTCAGTTTTAAATTATTTATGATATTTAGAAACATTCCGATGTTACCTATATCATCAAATGGAAACATCATGTGCAAAATTATCACAAAAAAATCAAAAGTTGACACTTAACGTTAGGCAGTCAATTTATAATAAAAATTTTAAATTAATAGGAAAATAGACTTCAAACTATTCTTCTTACATCTTTAAAGGATGTAACTGTGTAGATACATAGAACTAAGTACTGAAATATATATTTACAACGATTTCTCGTGTTCTTTAAATATTGGACTATTTGATAAACTTGCAAATTGAAATTTACATAAAGAGTAATCTAGGACAAATTAACAATTAGGTATTATTATCAACATATACATGTATCACACAATTGAAACAGAAATTATTTACAAAATGACCTAACTTATAAACAGATGTAATTTAAAATTTAAATAATTAACTATAATTAAATTACAGGTTAACAAGGAGGAATTCGATGTGTATATAAAAAAGTTATTGAAACGTGAAACATCGCAACCCCTTATCAAAATTAACTCAAAATCTGTATCTCCTCGGGAATGTTTGCAGGTACCAGATTAAATAAACAAATGAATGACTGATTTGAATGAGAAAATTAAAGAAATAATTTTTGTTATTAGTTTTTATATCACGCAATAGACATCTTTCGCAAAGAACACTTTGTTAAACACGACACAGTAAGAGAAGAAATTGGCAAGAAAGTACGTGCGTTGAAGGTAATGAAAACTCACTTACTAAAAGAGCTGGATACTTTAATGGAGACAAAGAAAGAATTACATCAGACGGCTGAACGGTTGGCTGAACGCTACGAAGATATTAAAGATGAACAAGAGAAATTAGCACAGAGGTAAAAAAAATTTTAAAACGAAACATTCTACAAGTGTGTCAACTATCAATTTAGATTAAACTTTTGTATATAAAACATATTACACAATTAACATAAACTTTACTCCCTAAAATGTGTAGAAATTTTAATATTAAGTTTTCGAAATAATAAGTATAAAGTTAATGAATTAAAGCATTTAGACATCTTAGATTAATATATAATTTATACACAATATTAAAAAGAAAATCAATCTATTTCTATTTATTTAAAACAATATATAATACTATTAACAGAAGAATTACTATTAACGGAAATTAATAAGAATAAAAATGAAACGACAAAATTTGTGTTATTGAATACGTAATTCACCAGTTTTTGCACAATTTTTAACATAACATGTTCTATATATTAACCATATTGAAAAAATTTAAAAATTAAAAATTTTAGAAAAGTTTCATCGTATAATTATAAAAAACTTTTTCATTATTGAAAAACTTTTTGTAATTTAAATAACAAACAATATGAAATTTATCAATTTTCTTTTTACTTAAACTAAAATATTTTTTGCGTTATCTAAAACAAAATTTTCTTCAATCTGAAGAAATCTTCCAATTTGTAAAAGTTGAGTTAACCCTTTGCGCTCGACGATTTTTTGACTAAAGAATGGTACGAGTTGAAAAATTTTCTGCTACAAGGCTGATGATATTTTTTGAACAGTAAATAAGAAATCGTGTAATAACTAACACCTAGAATTATTTAATTTCGATACCTTGCACACTGTTATATTATTTTAAATTTGATATATTAATTAATATCGAGCTTCGAAATTTTATCAAATGGTGACTGAAAGGCGCCTTTCGAGTGCAAAGGGTTAACATATATAATATTAAAAGTATATGAATTGGTTATATAATAATGTTTTACATCTATATTTTTTTCATATATTAGATGACAAAAACTTAGGTTTTACTTAGATTTTGTTAAAATACAGGCACTGTCATAATATAGAATACTTGAAATGCCAGTGTTAAACTCAATATATTTAAAAAGAATTATCTTAATATTTTTAAACTTTTTAAAAAGTACGGAAAATTATTGTAATTATATTTATAGATAATTTACAGAAATGAAAACATTTATGCCCTAACATCAGACTTTTTTTCTTTCCTTTTTTTCAATTTTTAATGTAAAACAAATACATGAAAGTATTATGGTTGACTATGGGTAACATGTTACAGAGCAAAGGAAGTATTACGGTTAGTGAATTATAAGGAACCATCTATGACTCCTATTGAAAGAGCAGAAGCAGAGGAATTAAGAAAAATGGAAATAAGAATTGAGGAAATGAAAATCAAACTATTAGAACTGAAGAAAAAATCAGAACAATCTGGTCACATAGAGAATAATGAAAACCTTGAAAAGAAGAAAGAAATTGTTTTTAGGGGCGATCAAGAAAAAACCATAAAAAATAACATTACACAGACGTATGTGGTTTTTATCTTCTTGTAAAAATATATTAATTAAATGCTAATACTACAATTTTTTTTTGTTTACATTGCAGATCAAAGATTATAAAAGACTTAATTACAGAGGTTAAAAAACTAGAGGAGGAAGTAAGTATCTAAATTGATTAATAAAATCGTATCAACACTATTTGTGAACGATTGTAAAGTTTTGTTATTTTCCTTTAGAGTATAGGATTTTTGTGTAATAAAAATTAATTTTATTTGCAAAATAATTTATTACATTAGCTATACATTTATCTTATATTTAGCCACATTATTGGCATAATTGGCATAATTGGCATAAAGAATACTTCCAATAACATCTCACTTTGACTGTCTCTTTTAAATATGAATATACAAGTTATGTAAAACGTACATGTATCAGTTCCAATGATAATGACATCAATATTAAATGATGAAATATTGCATATTTTTATATTGAATTTAAAATAAATTCATTTAGTATATACAGAAATGAAAAGATATCTTAAGTTACAGATTGTTAGTATAATGTATATCTAATAAAGTTGAATAGATGATCAACGTTTTTTTGAATAATTTTATCATTACAGATACAAAAAGATGCAGATTGTTGTTTTAAAAACGATTTTATTACAATTTTCAATGATAAAAGAAAGGACCCAATCAATTTCTTTGCACGTTATTCTTGTTCTATAATCATGTTTCTTTGACCACAAAACGTTGTTCAAGGTACAAAAATATAATGTGAAACATCATTGGAATCTTCCATAACTTTTGACTGTAGCAATTTAATTTCGAGCCTTAACTTTTCTTTTTCCATTTCTTGTTTTCGTATTTCATTTGAATAACAGTTCATCTGTAACTTTAATTTGTCCTTTTTAAGTTTTAACATTTCAGTTTCATGATATAGCTTCCCTTTCTCTGCACGAAGTACTGCCAGCTGTTCCTGAAGTAGTTGATGACTGGCTTCATCTGACAATATTACTTCAGGTGTATCAGTATCTGCTTTTACAGTTGTTGCTGACTTAGAACCATTTATTTCACTCTCAGGTCCACTATCTGGTTCTGCCTCATTATTTGTAGCTTCTTTCATGATCCATATTCTTGAATCTGCTGTCTCATCAAAAGTATTCGATGGTGATTTTGCTGGTTGTTGTGATTGAGGTGTAAGAGACCTAGTTTGTTGTTTAGGAGAGTTAGATGTTCCTTTAATTTTTTCCATATCAGTAGTAGGTGTAATCGTTTCAATGTCTAAAACTGATATAATATTATATCAAGTGTTTTCTTCCCAAAAATACAAAAATTGTTATAATTAATTGAAATTACCTCTAGTGCTAGGAGATTGATTACCATCTACAGTATCTGATATATGATTGTTACAATAGGTATTAAATTCTCTCTCATCTACAAAAACAGAACCATCAGCATTTACGATGGACTCAACAATTACAGATGGATCTCCATCTTGCATTACTAATTCTCCTACAATTTCACCATTTGCTGCTATAATATCCCCATCATTATTTGTTCTCAATAATTCGCCTTCTGCTGTATCAATTTCATCTACTACTTCTTCTTGAGTTAATTGACCATTGTAAGAATCATCACCATCATTTCCTTCGCTTACTTCTAATTCAGTTGGTAGTCCCTGAAAAATAATTTCTTTAATACAATGTATTATTAAATTATATATCATAAAATTAAATGTCCTACATCTTGGCCCCAAGGAGATTCCTGTTCCTTTTTCATCCTTTTTATTGTCTGAGCAATTTCATCTTCAGATTCAGAATACATTTTCCTATCATTATTTCTGCCTTGTACTTTCTCTATATCATGGATTTTTTTAAACAATTGATATGCTCTCTCAGGTGTTATATTTCTCTTTTGTTTGTTAGCTGCTGCTATATTAAATAAATCTTTGGATCTAAGTATTTTATTTGTTCGTAATCTTACATATTCTTTCAATCTCTTACGATCAATATGTAATTGCATGAGATCTTGTACTTCCTGTTTAATTTCACCACATAATTTCCTCTCTTGTGGAAGATTCTTAAACAATTCCTAATGAGAGGAAGGTAAAATCAAATACAGTATTATAAAATGTAATTTAGTACTATCTGACTCTATTTACCTCTGAGATTTCATGATTATGTTCATTATTGACACTAGTTACTTCTAACTTTGTACCATCTTTTGATGCTCTTAACATAATATGAGCAGGACAATTTGTTCTTATCGATCTAAGTAAAATAGTGATGTATGTAAAATATATTTAAGAATATATTTGCTTATATTTATTTAATCAGCATAATCATTACAACAATTTAATTTAAATATGTAATCTTATAAACTAACTGAGACTGTCTCCTGCCAGCTCCACGAGGTAGAAACTTCTGACCACCATAAATACAAGCATATTTAACTGAATAATACTTTAAGCGCTCGCTAATTGGACGAGCAGTTTTCATATGAGCTCCGCTAACTGTCCTGCTATCTCTTCTCCAGTAGTGGACTAGACTACGCTTTGAAAATTTCTCCAATTTATGTTCCAATTCTTCATAACTATCAAACATTTCTCCCAAATGAAAAGATACATCTTCATCTTCCACAGTATTTATATCCATTATAAACGCTACAGTTAACAATCTATTTCGTAAATAAACATGTGTTCATTAATTAAAAAAATATATACAAAATATCTAAAAAAGTTATAATACTCATAAATAATTTTCGCATCATGTTACACGAAATATACGTTGCAAAAGTTCTAACAAAATCTAAGATAATTTTTATAATCAGTAAAGAGAATATATTGTATGTTAAAAATAAAATGAAGGTTAGAATATGTTGGGACAAATTAAATAACATCATTGAAATTATTGTTTGCATTATTGTTTAATTTGACTTCTACTGACGAAACAAATCTCTTGATAATAATATAATTCAAGCAAAAACATTATTTTTCTTATTTCAAATTTCGAGGTTAGATTTCAATTTGATTGGCGTGGTAGAAGCCAGGACGATGAAACCGTGAACACAGCCAGATAGAATTACTCAAGAGCCGGACAAAGACAGGCGGGATTTTTTGTCTCCTACTAATTTTCAATCGTTACATTACGACTTACGTCCTGTCATATTTTTTGTAGCATTCCTTCTTTCTGGTGAAGTTTTATAATATTCAATTATCACGAAAACATGCACCTTGATTTTGCGCCATTTCTAATATAGAACAAGTGACTGAACTACAGCGCAACTGTTGTAATTTATTCTATATTAAAATATTTTTATATTTTACATAGTAAAATTGAAATTAAAATAATTTATTAATTTTTTTCACATGAATAATTTCATCCGTAATCCTTAATATTGAGTGAACAAAACATATACAAATCATTAAAAGATATAATAACTTATTATTTAGCATCACAACAAAATAATTTTACAGTATATTCTAAATAATATTAATATTAACATAGATTCTTCAATCATTTATAAGAAATAGTTAGTAATTAGTTAGTAATTATCAACTTCAGTGTTAGTAGGGAAACAGAATGATAGTTTATTTTATAATTTTCATTAAAAATTATAGCAAAAAGTAGTACATCATAAATAAGTTAATTTATTTGCATACTTACCTTTATTATACGTGTAATATTAATTTAAGTAACATTAATCTACAAATTTATTCAGTAAAGTATGATAAATTCTATCCTTATCTTTATTTATTATGTTAAGAAAGATAATTACAGATAGTAAAATATTTAAAAAATTCATAATTGTATGAGAAAATCAGGTGGGTAGTCACCTGCCTCTTCAGTAGTGTTACATTCTTCAGAAAGCTTAAGTATTTTATCTTCTAACACCATTATTTCTTTCTCATATATAGTATTAAGTTCTTTTACTTCCTTTATATCTCTTTTCATGTTATGTTTTGAAATATCTGCATCTTTTAAAGATATTTTTAAATCTTCAATAGTTTTATGTAGGCTTTTAATAGCTTCTATCAAAAATTCTTTTTGAGTTTTAAGATCGTCTATTTGTTCTGCATAAAATATTATTCTATGTAAAAGGTATTACATATATTATTATATCTTAGTATACAATCATTATAATTATTTATATTACCTTTTGACTCTTTTAATTGTTTCTCTAATAAACTCATTCTCTGTTTCATTTCATTTAATTGTAGGGAATTTTCAGTGGCTATATTAATATTCTTATGTGACTGACTATCTTTTTCTTCAGATGCATTCATGGCTAATAACATACTCAAAGTAGTATCCGAAACTGTTTTATCTTTTATAGGAGATGCAGCATTTTGTAGTCCAAGAACATGAAACTATATATGACACATAATAGTACTTTGATAACTAATACATCTGTAACATAACTGTAACATATATGTACCTTATCAAGTAGTTTTTGTACATTGTCAGCTATTTTAGACATTCCCATTCTGAGTTCTGCATTTGTCATTCTAGTTTCAGACAGTAACATAGTTAACCCTGAATCTATTATTGTTGGTACTGTTGAAGGTACTGTTTGTGTCTGTAATGGACATATTTGCCCATCCAAGGTAAAATTTGGCTACAATAAATGTATGTATCAATAAAAAAAATATTACAACTATTGAGTATAAATACATTTTTAACACAATTAAGTTTACTTGTATCTGTATGGAAGCGTTTTGTGATTCTTCTTCTACTGGTTCTACCTAAAATAAGAAAACACTATTGAATTAAATTAAATTACAAATTGAGTTGAATGTTTATTACCTTCTTTTGCTGAGTTGACTTACATGGTATATCATCCTAAAATATAATAATATAATTTATTATTGATTTTATTTAGTTATATATATATACTATTATATATTACTATTATATATATACTACTATATATACTATACTAAACTATACTACACTATACTATAACAAGACTTAGGTATACCTCAGTATCTTCGGAATCTGTAGATGTAGGAAGTTTTGGTAATATAGATTGCCCCATTTTTGCCATTCGTGATATAATAGAAGCTTTACCACTTGGACTTTTATGTAAATGATCAGTCTCCTCGAGTATTTGTATTATTTCTACTTCTAATATAATATCTTTTTCCTTAGGAAATCCTGGTCCTAAACTAATCTATAATATAGACATGTTTAAAATAAATAAATATTCACAATTTACTGGTACTTATCAAAACTTTGTATAAAACCTGTTTGCTGGGAGGAACAAACAAAATTCTTTTTAGTCCTTTACTACTTCCCAAGAGTGTTCTTTCCCAATTATCATCTGTAGATACTTCTACTGTCATTGTTTGAAAATTTAGTGGAATGTTTTTAAGAAGTGACTGTGTTATTTGTCTAATAAAATATTTAATAGATATTTTATCTCCTTCTTTTACTATTACATCTTTATCAGCTGATGATAAATCTTGATAAAGTACATTTTCTATCTTTCCATTCTTTGAAAAATACCGAGCTAATCCAACTTCTTTAGCAAATTCTACACAAATATCATTATTTTCAAACAAAATTGTCCAAACTTCATTATTATTATCATAATAACTTGAATAATTATTTGGTTGTATTATATATAAAAAGTTATGCGTCACTGTAACAACTGACACATGTTCTTGCTTGCTTTTATATAAAATAATTTGATATACTTTTGTTGCAAGATTTCCTGTAAGAGCCATACCAAGTTTGCCAATTGAAATGTAAGCCCCATTTTGTCTACAAGGCACATTATCTATTATATATATAAAAAGAATAATTACAATAACAAAAGAATATAATATTAAAACTCACAATTTGAATGCATGAACTGCTTTAGCTATTATGACTTCTGTTTTATTTGAAATTGGTTGAGTCGAAGTACATGGAGTATTTGACATTTTAGAAACTTGTTTGATTGAAAAACAACTATCAGATGTTTTAATTTGTAATCCAAAAATAGCAGCTAAATTCGATCTAAAAATAACTTATATATTTATTCATATAATTTATCTCATAATCTTTAATTACTTCTACTGAAATAAAATTTTTCAAAAATATATCAAAAAAATAAACATACCCTGCTGCTGGCAAAAAATCAAATTCATCATCATCTTCTCGTAAAATCTTATCAAGGTTTAGTACTTGATTTCCTACGTTCATGATTATAAATAAAATATCTTAAGTAAGAATTCTTTCTTAACACTAAAATATCAATAGAAATAGAAATTTCAACTACTTGTAAACAGTGAATGACATTTTCTGCATACAAACTAGTTATTAGTAAAATCACCAATAGATGGCGTAGCAATTTTTATTAAAAGTAATGCAAGTATAGCAGGGGGATTAAAAAATCGGTAAAATCGATCATGTAATAAAATAAACATATTCAATTACCGAAACAAATGATTAACAGAATTATAATTACACTCTTAATCATTTTTCATCTTTAGGGATTTTTGTCTATAATCTTGCTGTATCTTAACAATTTAATTTACGATCATGCTATGTCAAGCCACTAGAGAATATTTCAGAAAGAATCCACCTTAATTCGATATTAGTGTAATACATATGATCTATCATAGAAGATGTATAATTGTGGTTTTAAATTTTTACGTTTTACTTAAAAAAGCATACAAATATCAATTATATTATAATTTTGTAATAAAATTTTTAAATATTAAAATATACATAGAACAAAAAAATCTACACAATACAAATGAAGGAATTATAATCGTATATAAGTAGTTGTAGTTCTTCGATCATTTATCTGATCCTTAAATTAATCAACTGTTTAATACTAAAATAACAAACAATCGTATAGCCAATACCATTCTTAGACAATAGTGTTTTATGCATTTCAAAATCACTTAGTATCAATTATACAGAGTAATTATTTGGTTTTAGAATCGAAAAAATTTACCTATAGCGGCAAACCTGTGTTTATGTGCAAATGAAGAAGCTAATACTACTGTTTTACTTTACATTTCAATTTTCAAAGTCTCTTTTCCAGATCCCAGATGCGTTTTTATTTACATCTCTCTTAAAAATTCAATTTAATAAATGTTTATGAAATGTTTTATTTAAATATATATTATATAATTCATATATTATAATCTAAAAACCTTGATATAAGAAATATAAATTTATAACTTTATTCCAAATTTTAGATTATTAAGGTTCTTGTACAATTTGTAGAATTTCCTTATTTAATGTACAATAACTCTTATTTGTTAATCAGTATTTATTGTAACAATTACATAAAATAAAACCCAAAAATAATAGTTAAAAACCATAGTTTGTCAGTGATGTACAAACAAACAAGGAGAGTGCAAGTCCTTCGGGTCACCGATTTAATAGAAACTTTGTAGGTTTGTAGATTTCGTCATGTAATTCAAGAATATACATATATTATTATAGCCGCCATTACTCGATACTTTTTAGAATATTTACGATTAAAGTTTTATTACTTCTGTACTAGATTTAGTTCCAATGATTTTCACGTGGCGTTGCGGCCTAATAATTACACTCTAAAATTCCTGTGAAACAGGTCTGGGGTTCAATTCTCCTGTCTCTAGTTAATTTTTTTTCTTGAATCTGTTTGTTATTTTATATTCATTCTTCGACTATGAAAACTTTGTAAATAAACACTTGTAAATAAAATTTCTTAATAAAAAAATTTATTTTTTACGATTTCTTAATAATTTATCTAATCTACAAGTGCTTCTTCAAATTTAAGCATGTTATATATAGTTTCTGCAGTAATTTTACCAAAGATTGTATATTTATTCTGCAAATCTGGTATAGAACTAAGAATAAAGAAGAATTGGGAATCATTGTCATCTTTTCGAGTATTAACCATAGCAGTTAAATCTCGTCGACAAAGACGTAATCTTGTATGAAATTCGTCCTAAAACACATATATCCAATAATTATTTTTTAATAAGAAAAGAATTTATTTTACTTTTAAATACACTATACTTTTGATCCATATATTTTATTATCTTCTCCTGTAAATGTGGGATCACCACCTTGTGTTATGAATCCTTTGATAATTCTATGAAATATAGTGTCATCCCAATAACCTTCCATACATAATTGTATGAAATTTCTATATGCCTTTGCAGTTTCTTTTGCCCATAATTCTAACTCAATATCACCAACAGTTGGCTTCATTACAACCTAGTTTGACAAATATATTTGTTTGATTAATGTAAAATACTTATAAAATCAAATTTATTAAAATTTATTATTTATTATTGTAATTCAAATTAGAAATTATTTAATACATTAATATAGAAATTTAGAAAGTAAATATTGTATATCGTTTAAATTTTTAAAAACAGATATACAATCCATTGAAATATTATAAAATGATACTTACCATTAGCGGCTGGCCCTTGCATATAAATATTACTCATGTTTGTAAGTCTCCTATAATAGAAAAAATCATGCAACAATAATATTTCATATTAAATCTATAGTTATTTATAAATTAGTCAACCAAATGATTCTTATCACGAATAATCATCAGCAGGTAAGACATACCTTTTACCTCCTTTTGACATTGGCTTTAATAGCCCAATATAGTCCATTAACTGTCACAGATCCATTATTCTTGCTGCTTTTATATTTTGCAAGTTCCTATAGATATTTCTACACATTTTTGCCTTAATGCAACATTTATTCAGTATATTTAATTTATCTTTATCTTTAATAACTATTACCACTTGTTCCTTCTCCATCTCTTTAATGATCCTCATATTTCCATGTCGATGCCACAGATTTTTCTCTGTTGGTACATATGCTGCTTCTTTTTGGCTTCTTGATTCCATTACTTTTGGTGCATTTGGAGCCAAATAATAGATGGCGCTGATCGAACCTGCCGAATGAAAAACCACGTGACCAGTTGGGCGGGAGAAACAAAACAATAAAAGGACATAAATAAGTATAACACAATTTCCTTCATTTTATTAACTCTCTTAATAGTCCGTTGAACATGAAGTCACATATGAAGATGCGTGCTTTTTTTCGTGGTAAAAAGAAAATGAATCTGCCATGGTTATATGTTAAAGTACTTTTTATTCACTTTGAATGTTTCACATATACATGTTAATTGTTAACGACATAATAAATAATGACATATAGACATTAGAATCTGAGTAGATGACCGTACCACGGACCGTTGCGGGAAAAAGATGCTTCGTAATACATATCACCTAATAATTATCATTACAATGACCATATATATATGTACAATATTTATAAACATGTGATAAATGATTCTATTCAAATACATGAGTTATCCTAATAATTCTTGATATCTCTTATCGTGCATCTTCTCGGCTTTCTCCTGTGCTACACTAATAAGGAGTTTTTTATTCCCTATTCATTTCCCTTTATATCTTTATCATCTTCAACATCATTTATTTTATAATTTTCTACTTTCTTCGGTTCCTGAATCACTTAAATGATCACGAGCTGATTTGCACATACCACTAACCTTTTTATTTAATATCGAAGATTCTTCTTCATCTTCCTTTGCTTCTTCACCAAATGATAAAACATTAGAATCTCTGTAACAAAATTTGTCATAGCAAAATATAATACTATCAGGGCTAAATTCTGCAAACATATAAATGATTTTTACTTTACTCTTGCTGTCTTAGTTTTTGAATTGTCCTTTACTTCTTCACTTTCCTGTGCTATTATTCTTGGTATAATATCAGAAAATGGATTGTTCAATATTTTAGATTTTATCAATCTTGGAGGATAAAGTGGTCCGTCATTCTACAAAAAAGGAGGAAATATTATACTGATATAAATTCTTGTAATATTTTCTTGTAAACGTTAAATTTACCTCATCTACAAGTGCTTTCTGAAGTTCAAGCATATCATATGTAGTTTCTTCAGTAACCTGACCAAAGATTGTATGTTTATTCTGCAAATCTGGTGCAGAATTAAGTGTAAAGAAGAATCGGGAACCATTGTCATCTTTTCCAGCATTAGTCCCAGCAATTAAATCTCGTCGACAAAAATGTAATCTTGTATGAAATTTGTCCTAAAACATATATATCCAATTATTACTTATGCATAAAAAAGGAATTCATTATATTTTTAAATATACTATCACTTTAAAAAGTTCTCTATATATTTTACCACTTTCTCCTGTGCCGTGGGATCACCACGTTGTGTTATGAATCCTTTGATAATTCTATGAAATATAGTGTCATTCCAATGACCATCCATACACAATTGTATGAAATTTCTACTTGTCTCTAGAGTTTCTTTGGCCCATAATTCTGACTCAATATCACCAACAGTTGTTTTCATTACAACCTAGTTATAACAAATATATTAGTTTGATTAATGCAAAATACTTTTAAAATCAAGTTTATTTAAATTTATTAATTGTCATTGTAACTCAAATTAGAAATTATTTAATATATTAATAATGATATTAAGAATAAAAAAATCCTTCGTCAATAATATTTCATAATAAATCTTTAGTCATTTATAAATCAGTCCCTCAAATGATTGTTTCTCAATCAATCCTGTTAAAAAAGTATTCACTATATATGGATAGATGGAAAAAACCTAAACCAAACCCCTAATTACCGAAATATAACCAAAAAAAGTCAATTACGCAACACGATTTCACAGCCACTGACACATCCGACACTATTTCTCGAAAATGCAAGCTCTAAACCAAAAAAAAATATCCAACCCCGTTACGGAATAAATCAATCTACGCGAATCAGTGGAAAAATGCGATTTAAGAAGCCTAATTCAAAAACTAGAAGCCAAAAAAGTAAATTGCGCAGCACGATCTGAGAGCCACTGACACTTTCGGCACTATTTTAGAAAAACGCACACACGAAACCGAAAAAAAATATCCAATCCCGTTAAGGAATAAATCACTCTACGCGAATCAGTGGAAAAATCCGATTCAAAAAGCCTAATTCAAAAGACAGAAGCCAAAAAAGTAAATTGCGCAGCACGATCTGAGAGCCACTGACACTTTCAGCACTATTTCTCGAAAACGCACGCTTGAAATCAAAAAAGAATATCCAATCCCGTTAAGGAAAAAATCACTCTACGCGAATATGTGAAAAAATCCGGTTCAAAACGCCTAATTCAGAAGATAGAAGCCAAAAAAGTAAATTGCGTCGTACGATCTGACAGCCACTGACACATTCGGTACTATTTTAGAAAAACGCACAATCGAAACCGAAAAAAAATATCCAGTCCCGTTAAGGAAAGAATCACTCTACGTGAATATGAGAAAAAATCCGGTTCAAAAAGCCTAATTCAAAAGATATAAGCCAAAAACGTAAATTGCGTCACACGATCTGTCAGCCACTGACACATCCGGCACTATTTTAGAAAAACGCACATACGAATCCGAGAAAAAATGTCCAATCCCGTTAAGGAAAAAATCACTCTACGCGAATATGTGAAAAAATCCGGTTCAAAACGCCTAATTCAGGAGATAGAAGCCAAAAAAGTAAATTGCGTCGTACGATCTGAGAGCCATTGACACTTCCGGCACTAGTTCTCGAAAACGCACGCTCGAAACCGAAAAAAAATATCCAATTCCGTTAAGGAAGACTTCACTCTACGCTTAGAAGTGAAAAAAACCGGAGTCAAAAGCCTAATTTTGAAAATAGAAACCAAAAAACTAAACTGCGCAGCACAATCTGACAGCCACTGACACTTACGGTACTATTGTTCGAAAACGCACGCTCAAAACTGAAAAAAAAATATCCAATCCCGTTAAAGAAAAAATTTCTCTATGCTGTTATGTCGAAAAAATCTAACCGAAAATCCTAATTTCAGAAATATTGGCGAGGAAAGTAAACTTTGTAGAACGATTTCACAGGCACTTGTTTTTCCGTCATTTTGTTTCATATATGCACCTTCAATCGTAAACTAATACCCTACAGCTTGAAGAATAATCTATTGTATGCAGTAGTAATGAAATATCTTAATCTACAATCGAAGTTTAGAATGTATAAGCAATAATACGTAGCTATTTCGCAATTGAACGTCAAGATTGAAGAAAAATTGGAAAAACTGTTAACAAGCTGCCCATTCAGAGTAAAAATATTCAAATATATTGTTAGACAATCGAGATCTAGAATCTTCTATAATCAACGATAGGGGACTATGTGTTAGTATTACACGATCCGTACTCACACTACTTCATTTCCCACGTGTATCGCTATATGATTTACACTATGTAACATCACTTTTTTCACATGTAGTATATTACCACCAAAGAAATGTTCACAGTTAGTAATCTTGAACTTCGTAAGGTAATTAAAAGTCAATCAGCGATATCACTACTTCACGAAACGTTTTGAGATTTAATGTTTCACTTTGTCGGAATATTCCACCATTTGTTACCGGTATGCCCGTTTGCCGCCAACTGGAAGTTTGCTGCAGCCGGATACGCTAGGTATTTTTATAGCAGGAAAATGTTGCATCTTTGAAATAGCTATGTGATAAAGCATCGATCTAGAATATCTAACGATGTCTCTTATATTTAATAATATCAATAAAGCTATTATAAATATATTTCTGTTACGAAAAATACCGAATGTCTATAATAAATTCGTGAACTGGAATTATTAATTATTCCATTATACTAATAGAAAGACAAACCATTAGTATCTTCGGCAATAGTTCAAACATTATGCAATAATCACCAATATTGATTTAAATAACAACGAATTCATATCCAGAATTATATTAGGAAGTTCGCGAAGGCTGTGCCTTTACGATGTAATTCTAAAAGTTGATGAATTAATTATGGATGAACATGAAGTCGCAAATGAAGATGAGTGATTTTGTTCTTGGTAAAAAGAAAATGAAACTGCAATGGTTATATGCTTAGGTACATTTTATTCTCTTTGAAAGTTTAACATATACACGTTAATTGTTAACGACATAATAAACAATGACATATAGACGAACCGTTGCGAGAAACACATGTTTCGTAATACATATCATGTGATAATTATCATTTGTAACAAAAATTCATATTTGTAACTATATTTATATACATATACACTACTGCAAATGATTTTATTCGAATACATGTGTTATCCTAATAATTCTACATATCTTTATCTTTTATCTTGCATCTATCTCTCTTATCGTGCATCTCCTCGGCTTTCTCTCGTGCTAAACCTCATAAGGAGTTCTTTATTTCTTATTCATTTTCCTTTATATCTTTATCATCTTCAACATCATCTATTTTATAATTTTCTACTTTCTTCGGTTTCTTTTTTGTATCTCTCAATTTATTTTTTATCCTTTTCCTCATTGCTCTGAAAATATAAATATAAGACAGTCAATAAAAATTCCTACTTTCTATTACATATTTATAATATAAACAATAAACTAACTCTTTCTCTTTCTTTATAACTTCTAATTCTTCTTTAGTTTTTACTTCGTTCTCACTTTCCTTAATTTTGGTATGGAGCTTAATTTTGGATCAGTTAAATGATCACATGCTGATTTGCCCTTATCACTAAACTTTATATTTAATATCACAGATTCTTTTTCATCTTCCTTTGCTTCTTCACCAAATGATAAAAGATTGAAATCTCTGCAACAAAATTTTTCATTGCAAAGAATAATACTATCAGTGCTAAATTCTGCAAACATAATGATTTTTACTTTATTGCTGCTGTTTTAGTTTTTGAACTGTCCTTTATTTCTTCACTTTCCTGTATCTAATGATTATTTATATTTTCGTTTTCTTTCTGTAGTAAATAAGATTGCTATAGAAAACTGTTTTTTTTTTTTTTTTGCATAATATTCTTACTATTTTGTATTAAATATATACTTGCATAAGAAAGCGTAAAAAATGAATTTTTTTATTAAGGAATTTTATTTACAATTGTTTATTTACAATGTTTTCATCGGCGAAAAATGAGCACAAAATAAAAAATAGATTAAAAAAAACTACTAGGTGTCCCTATTAGGCCACAACGCCACTTGAAAACCATTAGAAATAAATCTGAAGGTACAGAAGTAATAAGACTTTAATCGTAAATATTTCAAAAAGTATTGAGTAGTGGAGGCTATAATGATATATATTCTTGAATTACATGACGAAATCTACAAACCTGCAAAGTTTCAACTAAATCGGCGACCTGAAGGACTTATATTCTCCTTATAAGTGTACAGAATATGATACTTTTAGATATCTATAAATGGAATTATCCTGAAAAATATCATACTAAATATTTATGGACTTCTGTTTTAATTCATGTGTTCAATATTGTAATGTCTATTATTTGTTTAACATGCTACTCTCTCCTAAATAATATATTTATTCTGTGATATACTTATTACATTCTTATTCTATAATGTACTACCTCGTTCTATCCATATATGTTAAAATTTTTAATAGTAGAAGGACCTATTAATGTCCTTAGTTAAAATGAACGAGGTTTGGTTCAATCAAATATATTCTAAAAATTTAAGCCCTGCATTTAGGTATCAGTCATTAATAATTAAACATAGTCAATAAAATGTTTTTTTTAACCTCTTAATCCAAATATGAAGACGAAAATAAAATTTTTGCTATTGAGGAGGAAAATTTAAGAGCTTAAACAATCACAGTATGAAAACAAAAGTAACAAATATTCATGTCTAGACTGTAAATCTTAAAATATGTTGCTACCTTAAACAAAAATAAACAACATATAAACCTGTATTTAAATTTCATCATATAATTTATTGAAATCATTTTAATAATAATTTTACTACATACATGCCAATATTTACATATATGCTATCATATTTAGAATAGTTTATTTTAATTCGAAAGTATAATGCTCTCCTTTCAATAGATATTGTTTTTCCATCTAAAATAATATATTCATATATTAATCATAGTAAAAAATGAAAATATCTTAAGAGAAAATATAGTCTTACTACTGGCTGGCTTGTTTCAATCATCACATAATAAAGTATTAACACAGCAGCTACTGAGGAATACCAAAGAACGCGAGCCTGAGACAGAGAATATCCATAGGGTTTGAAATCATTATCCACCATTTTTGGTACATTATATGCCTTCTTCATCTATACATGAAACAATAGGATCAAATTATTATGTGACATTAAAATATAGATTAAATTTAATGATGTTAAATACCTACAAATTCATTAAAGTTTCTTTTTAGTGGATAAAAATCCCAAGGATAATATGGACATTTAGTTTCTATGGATGGTACTAATGAATCTGGATAATCTCCGGTATATCTGTGATCATCAGGATAAGGTTTATATTCATAAGGATGCAGGCCATATCTTGCAGCAGCTGCTTCGAATTCTTCTTTTGTTTTTGGTATGCATAAGTTAGGTAAATACTTCACCTGAGACGGTACTAAAAAAAATGAAAGATAATTATTATAAATGTAAAAATATAGTTAGCAAAGTTTTTATTTTTCAAATTCATGTTTTAAATAATTATGTATAGCTCTTACATAATATCTTAACCTGTCAATATACAAACAGAAGTAATTATATATTACTTACACAGATCTTTACGTACAAGTATTTCATATGGAGTTTTTAATATTGTTTTAAGATTTCTAGTAAAGTAAATAAGCGGTGTATTTCTCACACATAATTTTTTTGACAGTTTCTCGACATTCCTTAAAGTAGCCATTTTCAAAAGCTGTTTACTGTGTCATATGAGAACCGTACTTGAAAAATCAATATTGCAAACTGAAATATACTAAACACTTGTATAGAAAATATAAATTTTTATTTAGCGATATTGAAATAAATGGAAATTGTTTAAATACTATTTACAATTACAAACAATAAATTGACTGTATAAATTTATTCCAATGAATAATGGTAATATAAAATCTAGGGTTTTGAAATATTTCAATTTGAGTAAATGTAATTATCTTAGTAATTCACTTCTTAGATTTAAAAACCTTCTAAACAAGAAAATCGAATATATAACCAACATTTCAGAAAATAATACAAGTAATATAATTATTAAACTTTTAAAAGTAATTGTGAAAAGGTAGTTTTATATTGATGTACATTCGACCATTTCATTGTATTCAAGGTTTCTAAACGATACTATTAACAAACTTTTATTTTCACAAATTTTATAAGATTTATTGAAAAAAAGAAATAATAAAATTTTGATGAATTATAATAAACATGTGTATCAAATATAGTGAATGTAGAGTTTAGTATTTCTTAATTTGAAAAAATATACATGGCGTAGAAAGTTGTTTCGAACAGACGGCCATGATTTCCAATATGCTATTACGGATAGAAACAGGAAGAAAATGGCCGGTAGCGTGTGTTGATCGTTTGTATTGAAGTCGATGTAAGTTTATATCAGTCTTTTCATTTTAAAGAGACGGACTTATGGCTAAAGTGAAATTTTCTTTTATGATACGGCGAATTTAGCAACGGTATGTATGAACATATAAATTTTCTTCATATATGACAATGATTTTGTAATAGCATAAAATCTTCATGTTTAATTAGAAACAAAGATGAGTTGTCAGATTTTTCATAAAAGAATATTTGAATATCTAAATTTTTTATAATATTAATCTGAGAAAACATATTTTACCTATATTTAATAATACAAGTATTTTGTACTGTCCTACTACATATAAATACATTTTATACAATGCGTAACTTTACCATGTAATATATTGTTACATATTTCTTTTCTTGAAACTAAAATATTATTGTGTAAATTCTTATTAATAATTATACTCATTACGTACAACAAATATTTTTAGTTTTTAATCTTTGATCAGAATAAAATGTCACTAGATTTAACATTTTATTTTTTGTTTCAAATAATTCAGAATTTTTTATTTCTTTTCAGAAATTAAACTTCTTTAATTGTGAATTATTTAATAAATTGATCAATTCTTATTAAAGAAATAAAAATTAGATTTAATTGATAATTAGATATAAACATTTGTTCAGAAAATTTGGTTTTATTAAATATTTTGTATGGAATATAATTATAAAAATTAAATATTTCATACTTATTAATGTTATAATGTATAACATTAAAAAATAGTAAAATATCATCATCATAATTAACAAATTATATCTTATTAATTATTGGTTATTATATTAATCATTGTAATATCTTGTTTATATACACTGATTTAACGAGTATAAAAATGATATATTAAAAAATTTGTCAGTCTATTTGGTTCATCGTTTTAAATAAAACATATGAATATAGATGTCATTCGTAATTTAATTTTTTTTATTAAGTTAATTATTATTCTTTAAAAATTTATTATTATCATAGTCTTTTGTAAAATAAAAATCAATATGGAATAAGTTTTATAAATTTAATTAAAATATGGGACAAAATCTGTGTCTAGTCTTATTCTATTACTCTATTATCAATATTTACATAAAATCTTCAAGAAATATATTTTAGGTGTTTATTATAAAATTAAACTGCAAATAACTAATATTTTATGTTTGTCTGTTTTATTTTAATTTTAAAAAAGTCATATAATTTTGTTTTATGATTTGTCTGAGCAATCAATTTTTAAACAGTAAATATTGAGAATAAAATATATGTTTATATACATTTTGTTAAATGTTCAAATAATCTGATAAAATTTTTTATGTTTGTTGTGATCAGTGTCTATTATTTCTGATGGTAAGAGTAGGAACTGTAAATAAAAACTATTTATTATTTTACATTCTGAAGCGTAGATGACTATTGAATAGATATTAATTTTTAATTTATATGTATTATAGACGCTGAATTTTATATATATACAAATTGGAGAGCAACAGTATGGCGAGTCCTTCACCACAATCATCTCCTATGCCTCCTCCGCAAACTCCAAGTCCTATGGGTCCTCCTCAACAGGCCCCATCACCATCTAATCCACAAGGTAGTCCCATGGGTCCACCGCAACATCATCCTCATAGTCCAACACAAGCATATCAAACTGGTCCACCAATGGCACCTGGTGGTCCACCTATGCCTCAACCACCTCAACAACCTCCACCACCGCAGCAAAGTTATTCATCACATCCACAACAAATGCAACCTACTATGGGCCCACAGGTATGGAATAAAATTTGACAAATATTATATTTGTTTTTTGATAAATACATTGTGTTTTGTAACTGACAAATTATTAATTCAATAATAAGGTTCAATAATAAGTTAGGAAGATCTATTTAATTCTTTGCACTACAATATCGAATCTAACTCATTATGAGTTCTTCATGTCAAATATCACAATTATGAACGACATTTATCACACAATCATAACCATGTTCAACATATTTCAACAAGCACAAAATTCAAAAATTTTATCATGGATGAAATAAATATGTAGTGGTTAATTAAACTTAAATATTTCTTCGATGTATAATTTTTCATAATTAAATGGTAGTGTAAGGGGATAAAAAAATACTATGGGGTAAAGCAAAGTATTTTTAAGTGGAATAGATTAATATTTCTTCTAGCACATAAGTTTATCCAGAGAAATAATCTATTAGAACATATACTATAAATCTTATCATATTCTATGTCAGACTGATTTTCACTAAGTTTCTATTTATGCTGCACAGGTGATATATATCCCATGTCATCAAAGCTAGTAATTTTCCTTATAACATTTATATTATGCCTTACAATATTTATAAAACTGGAAAAATCATTACTATTCATAAAATAGAGTGATATTTAAGATATATTACTAAACAAATGACTAATAATAATTAATATGCTTATCATAATTGTATAATTTAAGTTAAAGAAAGAGTGGGACATATACTATCCATGTGGAATGAACATGTTAACAAAATTTCACATTTTGTGAGCATCAATAAGAGAGATAAATTTCAAATGGAATTATATTTACTATTATTAAACTAACATTTATAACAAGCTCTAAAAATTTTATTCAGTATATAGCATATACTTACATACTTATATTTAATTCAATGATCCATTTTATCATGTTTACTTTGTATAATCAATGATTGCCATTCTGTTTATATTCTTGAAAAATAATATCGTATCAATTTTTGCTTGAAATAATTTTATATTAAAGAAATTTGTACAACAAATATTTAACCTTTCATTTATTTTACTTTTTTTTCTTTTCTGTTATTACTTTATTATTTTTAATATATCTACAAAAGTATGGGTAATGTATAGTTTAAGATGAAAAATGTTAAATTAATCATGTTTATAGCTTTATTGAAAATTTTAATGAAAATTATTTTTAGTCTCAAGAGATGAAAAATATCAAGAAGTCTAATGTTTCTTATGAAACTTACAGTTTATAGTTTAACCTCTATTTTAATATGAAAATGAAAATATAAAAATAACCTCATTAAAGTTTTAAAATTGAACATAGTTCTGATAACTACAATAATTTATGTATGAAAGTAATATGAATGACAGTTGTTGATATATACATACTTTTAATTATCTATACTAAATAATGTATTTATTGTTAAAGATGTGAATGATCATATATAATTCCTGTAACTTAAAGGAGGATAAATATACAATGCTTGTATATTATACCAGATTTTCATATACTATAATAATATTTTTAATTAATAAAAATTATTTCAAATTTTTATCAACAGCTTTTACATCAGCATTTTTAAAAAGGTCAACCAGTTGATCAGCAATTTGATGATTGCATGCTGCTATAACTCTTGGTGTCATTAAATCTAATTCTCCACCTACAATTATATGAAATTATACAAAGATTTTAGAAATAATGAATTTTTAATGTGGTTTTTGTGATTCTGAATTATATGTATTAGGTTAACAGAAAAAGTATACCTGTAGTATCTATTACTGTTCCTCCTGCTTCCTCTATTATTAGTTTCCCTGCAGCAATATCCCAAGCATCTACACTTTCAACATGATATGCTTCAATTGCACCCATTGCAACATAACACATTGTAAGAGCAGCTGTGCCTAATGATCTTATTCTACAAATAAAAAATCGTTTGTAATTGTGATATTGCCAATATTATGAACAAGCCAAAAGTGCGAATCGTAATAGAACTAAGCAATTACCCATGAGTTTCTTGAATTAATGCATGCATTCTAGTGTATGTAGTAACTAAATAATTTGAATCCTTGGCAATCCATGGTTCCATTGCTATTAATGATTCAGATAAATCTAAGGGCATAAAAGTATCAAATTTTGACATATATTATATGAATATTTGAATTTTGATATATTAAAATAGATGAGATAAATAAAAAAATATATTTATCATAATTATATTTATTTTATTTATTAAAGGGTTATAAGATCAGAATTTCATTGATTTATGCAAACAATAAAATATATTTCAAAGAAAAGGTTTTCTTTTATTTAAATTTAAAGAATTTTTATATTTTTGATCATTTTACAATTTATAACTATATATAATTTTATGTGTTATATATGCATTTATTTACTATTATGATGAGTATCTTTATTTTTAACTTTATGTACCTGTTACTTTTGATGTTTTTATAGGGTGTCCATTTAAGAAAGCTCCTTTTCTTTGTTTTGCGGAGAAAAATTGCCTCATTAAAGGATTATAGACCATTCCAATTTCTGTTCTTTTATTTATTAGTAATGCTAAAGAGATACATGTGTGTGGAAACCGATGTACAAAGTTTGTTGTACCATCTATTGGGTCCATGATCCATGTTGGTTCATTAGTTAATTTTGGTGTAAAATTTTTTTCTGCAGTTGCTTCCTCACCGATAAATCTGAAATGGATCTTTTTATTGCAAAACATTAGAATAATTAGATCTTTTCCTCAATGTACATACTTGTGTTGTGGATATATATTAGATAATTGTTTTTGTAAATCATCCTCTATTTTTCGATCATATTCAGTAACCAAATCCCATTCGATTCCTTTACATTTTACATTTTTATTTGAATTAATGGCACCTTCTATTATCTGAAAACAAATATTTTTTGAAACATTTTATAATTGAAATAATTATGTGGCAATTTTCATTGAGCGATATATAATATTTTAATACATATAAGAAGACTAATTGTAAATCAAGAAGGAAATTATTCTATGTATATGCACACACTCGTTTATTCTTTATTAAGGAGATTTTGTTTTACATTTCTATAAAACAATCATCATAATATGTAATAACTTATTCTCTGTTGAAATAATTTAAACATCTTTTTTCTCAAATATAATTATTTTAAAAATGTGAAGTAAAAATATTGTATATTAGGGAAAGTTATAAAAGTTATAAAAAATTAAAATCACTCTAAATAAACGACTTATGTGAATATTACTAATGATATTTTCATTGTGTTTCATTAACACTATAATTATATATCGTTTACATTTCAGTTTCGATCAATTTTCGATACTATCTAGTATCATCTAAATTCTTTTTTATATACTTTCAGAAACATTATTGCTAAATATTTAATGTTTTTATCAACTTTCTGGTTCACAAATGATTAAACTTATAAATAATCTTTATTTCAACAAAATGGTAAAATAATGGCGAAAAAAATATAAACAAAATATATTATAAAAATATAAACAAAAATATATTATTTTGTTGAGATAATTTTGCTTATTAAAACCGTGATTAAGCTATGATTTGATTATTTAAATTTAATCAGTTTTTATTTTCGTATACGATATATATATATGTATTTATACTTTTCCCGCTTTCAAAACCAACTTCTCCGCCACATTATAATATTCCTCGATGTTGTGTGACTCGGCCATATTTCACATTTACACTTTTTCTATTAGAGATTGCAAATATAATGATCATTTAAAATTCTCTTCTACAAACGTACACGTGAATACGATATTTCTGTCTGACTAACACTGACATCAATGATGCACTAGCTGGCCTATATAACGACTAGAATGGAAAAAAGAAAAGAGCGGGGCGACAGTGTAATAAGTGGGGACAAAAATCCGTGACGTCTGTTACTAATGTTTCTGTGTGTATTGTTAACAAATACACTTTTGATATCTTAAAGTCATTACCTAAAAGATAGAAAACATAGAATATGTCTTTGCAAAGATATATTCACATAGTATATTAGAAGTATCGGACGGGGTAAAATATCTGGTTTCAAGCTTTTTGTCTTCCTAGTTACTGAAAATATGCAATTGTTTTCGTTGAAGTTAATGTTATTTTCTATTAAGTCGAAATCTAAATATATACTTTATTAATTTCGGCTTTAAGGTGAACTTGGTTTTTATCAAGTTTTACTCATTAACACCTTATCTTATTCATTCTTTTATCCATGTTTTATTGTTATTATTTATATTTTTTCTGTTAATTATCTTTAACACTAGATTTAGGAAACCCGTTAATTTGACGGAAGGGTTGCTCCAATTATAGGATGGTAACAGATTTAGTTAACTTATATTAAGACTATTAATATAATATATAATTGTTTATAAATTAAACTAATCGTTAGAAAAAAGGTAGGTGATTTTCTTTACCTGTCAATTTGACAGGTGTCCTTAGAAATAGGTATACAGATAGCGTCCATAAACCTAGTGTTAACTAATTTTCTATCTTGCAAAAGAGCTCTTCTATAGTGATTTCCCCTGTATGATAGAAATGTAATTATTTATATCTATTTATTTTCATCGTACTATATCTCCACCCTTTAAAAAAGTATCGAAAATCTTCTCAATAATGCAATCATCTTTTCGAATTTGTATCGCATATGTTTCTCATGTTCGTAGATCCAGAGTCGCTGAGAACAGAATTTGCATTAATTTCTGTACACGTCATTGATTTAGTATAAATTTCACTTCAATGTCACTTTAATAACGTGTGATAATATTGGAGCAATTGCTGCCAAGCTACTGAGTATAACTGTAGTAATACCTCATGCACGCATAATAAGTCAATTTCAGTAATTATGGCATTTTGACCTAATAACAATAACGAATAACTCTACTTTTAAATTTTTTCAGCTGTAAATTAATTTTCTTCTAGTGATATGCCATAAATTATTCACTACTACAAGCACGTGTTGATTGTTTAGAGAAAGAGATATGACTTCGAAGGGAATTTACCTCTGGTTTGCACATGCACGACGCGTAATTACCGTTCTCATTATTCTGCGTGTGTAAGAAGTTCGCGAATCACATTAGTTTTCCCGTGTTCGTCATCTAGAATTTCGTCACAAAGTTCTTCCCGGATTATTTCAGAGATGTATGTTCAGTCGTTTCGTTTTACAAGGAAATCGTACAGATACATGACTCGTGATAATATGGGTTTCTACTAAAACGTTCTTTTTGCCTGATTAAAACTTGTACATTGATTCTCAAATATTGTATATTTGAAACGGTGCATATCATCAAACTGTTAATTCATTACTAAACTGCGGATGTTCATGCATTTGCATAAAAACTAACTGTATCCAAAAGTTGCACTGACGTCATAGAACTGTATCGATGATCAACTATTTGAGAGTGATCTAATTTTGCTACAAAATATAGTTAAAGAAAATAGGACCAATCCTGTTAATAATTATCTTATTAATGTAATGCTTTGACAAATAAGTAAATAAAATTACATAAGAAACAAGAAAAGCGAGACATGGAAATATAGCGTGAGAACACTTGTAGAGATGTAGAAAGATGAGCAAAGAATATGTGATATCTGTGATAAATATATTAAAAATATGCTACAGTCTATAGTCGTGAAAACGTTTACTGTTTAGAATTTCAAATTGAACCTTAATCCATTCTTTGATACGTTCAGAACCTTTACTTTTAATCTCGTAGATTTGCATTTAAATGCTCGAAGTAGCTAACTGAATCGTTTATCTTTAAATCCTAATCTTTAGATTTTTAATTTAAGAGAAGAATCCACTGTGGCGGTTGAAGGTAAAAACAATCTTCAAGAATTTTTTGGGATTAATTTTGATACTTTTTCTATTAAATTTTTAATATTTTCAAAATATATAAAAATGTTGATTATTATTGATATAATAGGTGCCAGTGAGGCCTCCAGAAATTTATTGAAAACGGGCTGACGTGTAATTTTTCACTGGATATTCTTAAACAAGAGATTATTCAATTTTTTTAAACTATAAGGCAGTAACTTCAGTTGCACATGGGGATTTAAGTAAATTTAATTAAATTAAATTAATGTAATTAAATGATAATTTATTATAAAATGATGGTACATTGAAGAAAAGAACTTTAAGGCGTGTGAAAAATTCAATATTTCGTTGAATACCACGTAGGAAATAATTGTTCAATCGAAAATTCCGTAGATGCAACTATAGTATTAGGAACTACCATACAAAATTTTAAGTAAATCGAATGAAAATTGATCGAGTTATTGAGCCGTCAGTTTGAAAAATATGGTTTTAAGGAAAATGCGGTTGAAAATATTTAGACAACCGTTGGCTCGACTTCATCCACTTGACATAGACACTTTTCATTCACATAGTTATCTCAGCCCAAACATTTCTTGTTCATATGAAAAATTTACCATAGCAGAAATAATAAAAGAGTTTCAAACGAATATCCCGAAGTAAAAAGAAATTAGTTTCGAACATTACGTCTATTACATGTTTTACATGTGCTATAACTTTGTCATTTTAGCGAATTTTACTTTAATATTTTAGAGAGCTATTCCTAAAATCTTAATCAATAAAAGGAGATGAAATTTCGATTTTTTCAATTCGTTACAGTGGTTTTCCACATTGAGTGCTACGTCAGTCCCTGGGGACTGACAGTAAACTTTCCGTTCAGGCGGCGTCAGTCCCTGGGGATTGACAGTAGATTTTTCGTTTAGACGGCGTGTATTCTAGGGACTGACGGCGAACTTTTCAAAGATTAAATTATTAATGACAATTAATATATTGTAAAAACTAAATTCCCTCTGCTGAAGTAAATCTTAACACTTCCGTGCCTTTTTCTGACTGATCGTCTCTTGGTTATCGTCTTTTTGCCTTTCTGTCATTCCACACCTCATTATCTTCTGTTTATAATTTGTATATTTGTGTATTAGCTGCACCATTCTCACAGTTCAAACGGCAAAGTGAAACAAAGTTCATACTCTTCGGTATACTTGAGCGCTCGACATTAACTGCTCCACTCGCCTGAGCGGAAAGTATAGCAAAATCGGCGCCGTACTCAACGTGTTAAATAAAATTTAAAGTATAGGTATTTCACAATTACTGTTTAAAATTATTTTATTTCAATAATTTTATGTAACACTTTTAAATAGTGCTACATCAAAAGTAATTTATGAATAGAGTAAATAATTAAAAAGATACTTTATTAGACGTTATGATTATAATTGAAATTATAATAAATTGTAGGGATATTTCCTGTATTAACCATAGTTTATTGATGACTTTTATCAATTAAAATTAATCTTAAGTTCAACATCACGCTGTTATAGAGGTGTATTTAAATTTATTCTGATAGTATTGTTTACTTTTCTTTAGTTTCTTAATAATTGAAATTTCATTAATATTTATTTAAAATTGCAGTTCGATTTCAAAATTGCATCCTATTTCGACATTTTCAGTTACATTTTTTGAATTTTTCATGTCATTTAATAATTTTGTGAAATTGATCCGTGGCAATTACTTGTTAATGTGTACAATATCTGTATACATTCTGATTCTTTAAATAATATTGGATTTTCCAAAGTAAATACTCAAGTTCACTTCATTAGCATTTTGCTACAAAATTATTTTATTTTCAATAACTATTATTTTTACAAAATTTCAAATTTAAGGCATACATTTTTGTTTACGTATTTTTATTTAAATAGTACTCTATATAACATCATTTGAATATTACTAATAGGAACTAATCTTATAATTATAATAAAAGTAAGTCATTCAATCTTCTATTTCACTCTTTGATCAGCTTCGCGAATAAGTTCAACCACCCTATTCGCAATCTTTTCGTTGCATGCTCCAATTGCACGTGGTATCATGATGTTAATCTTTTCACCTGTAACATGTATCGAAATTTTACTAATACATTTACCTTTTCGAATCTAAAACCAACTTATGACTTTACGAAATATACATAATATATAATTCTTACATAATTATTATTCTTATATATTATAATTATTTTTATTGGGATCATAATAAAATTTATAAGATAATAAACATAATAACTAATAATACAATTATATATATTTTCAACTCAGATATAGCACATAAATTTAAGAAAAAGAAGAGAAAAAAAGGGAAAACGGAAGAAAGAAATTAGGAAATTTAAAAATTAGAAGTTCAGAGGGTTGAAACTTGTAACTGAGATAGAAAAATATATGAAACAGTACGAAACAAAACGTTTTTCTGGTCAGAGGGGAAAGAATTAAATGGAGATGTGGGTACGAATAAATAGTTGTTTACCTGTTACTCGATCGACAACAACACCACCTGCTTCTGTAATGATTAATGATGCCGCGGCTATATCCCACGTCGAGATACCTGGCCCTTCAATGTAATAAGTTTCGACAATTCCCATTGCGACATAGCATAACGTTAATGCCGCAACACCAAGTGTACGAATACTATGTGAAAAGAAATAAATCTGAATAAAAAGATTGCGTGCATATATGAGCGAAAATATATCAATCTCTTTTTCCTTTTTTTCTTTCCAACTTTTTCTATAGTTTATACATATTTTACATTATTGTGTTTGTTTCATTTAATTTTGTAAATACATCAAATTTTTCAAAATGGCCACCAGTAGTCATTTTGTGCTAAACTTGTTAAGACAATGCATTTATTAAACTATACGTATGTATGCAGTGTGTGTAAAAAAAAAGCAAAATCTATTTAATTAGTAATTAAACCAGTTGAAATGGTAGGTTTCATGTATCTTATTTTTGCATTTAGCAAAATGTTAAGACACGATTAAACAGAAGAGTTTCTGTTAAGCAAAAACATGATTACCTATACTTATTTATTTTCATCTTACTATTACTATTTTAATTATAGGTCAGTAATTCTAACGTTAAAGGCTTTAAATGAGGATTTGTGTATTAATTCCGTTAAGTAACGATGTTTATATTTATGTTATGTTAAAAATATTGAATATCTTTAATATTGAAACATCTTTTTTCTTACAAATGCTTTATAGATTCACCAAATTATTATTTCAATGTAATTCTGAAAGTACGAGATGTCGATAATTACATTTTTAATAACAATCAGGTTTAATTTAGTACAATTGAAATAATAAATCTAGATTAACTTTTAAATAAATTGATTAAATTCAATTTTATTTTGAAGTACGAAAGACGAAACATGGAGATATGATCTATAAAGTAAGTTAGAGTTTGAAAAAAAGGTAAAATAATTTGTATCTTACCCTTGAGCTTCTTGGGCAAGTGTTCGTAATCTTTCAATAGTTTTTTCTCTCATGTGATCTACTTTTATGAAACCACTTTCTAAGCAGACCAAAGATTTTGATAAATCTGTAAAGATACTGAATTTGATTTACTATGTTATTGTGAAATATGGCTTAGATAACACAAACAAAAGTTTAATGATTCTACGTGAAATTTTATTTGCAATAAAAATTATTCAGGATGTTTAAATAAATAACTAACTTCAATTTAACTATTCACCTAATCACATAAGATACGCATTTTATGTGCTAAAATTTGATTGAAAAATAGTATATTTTAATACATAAAAAGTATATTCATAGTAAAGCAGTAAACTTTTTATAGAAACTTGGTATATCTCTATCAACTTCTTTAACAAGAGTTTTCATTTACCTTGAGTATTGGAAACCTTTATAGGTTTATCGTTTAAAAACGCTCCACGACCTTTTCTCGCCGTGAATAATTGCTCGAGAATAGGATTATAAACGATACCAATTACCATTTCTTTCTTAATTGCCAATCCAATTACGATGCAAGTATGGGGAAAACCGTGAATGAAGTTAGTAGTACCGTCAATTGGATCAATGATCCATGTGGGGTCATCCGTCAACTCTGGAAGCTCTTTTCCAGTCGATTCTTCACCTATAAATCTATCATCAAGTGTTCGACATGTTTCCCCTCTCTCAAAATTTTATACATAGAAATTAGAGAAATGGAAAGCTTAGAAAGTTACATAAATCAGCAACTCGCAATCTGGAGTTCGCGTATGTGTGATACGTTGGACATTAATGATGCACAAGTTGAATCAAATTATATTAAAATAAAAAATTTTAAACTGTAATAAGTATTACTTATGAAGTGGTGCATTTCTTGATCATTATATCTACTCATTTGTTTGTACGCGAAGAAAAATATCGACAACTATTAATATTGAATAGAAATTTTATTATATATTTACTTGTGATTCGGAAACTTCGTTTTTAGTTGACCAATGATCATTTCTTCTATCTTTCGATCGTATTGTGTAACCAAATCCCAGTTACCTAGCTTCTCGTCGATTTTCTTTGTACCATTAATGGCTGTTTTGAGAATCTTTAATAGAAAATTGAATAGATTAATTAATTCTTCTGTATTAAAATATTTGAAAATGCAGAGTTATGAAAAACATTTTGTCTGATATTTCATGTTTTACATCATTATTATTGACATTAGTGTATTATATATTTATTTAATATTTAATTATTTAATCATTTATATATTTAAATGTTTATTAACGTGAACGATGTGTTATAAGATATATTTATATAGTCTGTTTTAAATGATAGTTTCAAATGAAAGAATAAAGATAAAAAATAGTTCCACGGGAAAATTTGAAAAAATATTTTATAACATGAAATACACGGTTTATCTCTAAATCCGTTTATCAATATTCAGTATACTAAATATCACTGTTATGCAAAACCTCGTTAAAAAATAAATGTTACGCTGCTGAATTTTTTCTTGCAAGATTATTTCTAACCAGATTAAAAATGTGCTAAAAAAGTTTTGAATACTCTTCTTAAAATAAAACAAATTTCAAGATATTCGCCCATGAAAGTTAAAATTACTTATTTTTAAATAAAAATTTGCTTTACTCGCTTTTCTTAGCGGAAATTGAAGTTAAATGTCTGTCACAATGTTAGCTTTAAATATATCTTACTTAATTTCATTCATAAAAAATCCGTCGAACGTCTAGGAAGCACTTTTAATTACAAATTGAGAAAATCCATATGACAGGTAACGAGTGTGCGTCATTTCGATTCATAGTATTTTCCCGCCTCTATAAATAATGAATTCTGCTTTTCCTATTGCTCATGTTTCTGTCTATCGAAAGGTTAAGATCATATTTTCTTGATGCTGTATACTATTACTGACAATGTATATCATTCTTGACAATTATTAATTTCAGCATTCAAATTAACTAGAAAACTATATTTTTAATGAGCGCAGAGTTAATGAAGAACATCGAGTATGAATGATTTAATTTGTAACTGATATTGAAATATCTCAAAGTTTTACATTGTTTGATGAGGTAATTATTTAATTAATATAGTCAAAGTAATATACATCGACTTATTTCGTTATCCTAAACTCACTTATAATTTGTAAAAATTTGCTAAGATATTATTATTTGAATTTTCATAGAAATTCTTAGTCGTAATATTCATTTTATTCGGGTAATTTAATTCTTATTTATTATACATTTATTACCTTATTTATTACGTATATTATTTTAACTTACTTCCATTTGTGCCATTTGAACTTTTGACTTTTTATATTTCAACATATTGTGACCCACTTTCATTTAAATTATTTAGATAGAAAAACTATTTTTTTTTTTTTCCAGGGATCTTGTATAACTTTTTCACTATTTGTGATGAAATATTGGTTTATAAATAGCAACACGCGCCTAAACAACCGGTAATTACATAAGAATGTTTTATAGAATTTTTTCATGGATGAAGAGATACACTACCGATTAAAAGTCTAACGTTACTCATTGTGATGCAGGCAACTTGTAAATTTATCGTTTATTCGTAATGTTTTTAAAAAGCACAATGAGAGTAGTAATATACAATTATTTTCATACGACTATATTATTCTAATCAATTTTTAAAGCATATCTTTTGTTTAATATAAAAATATATAATAAAAATTTACGTATACTCAGCAAAGCGTTATATTTCTTCACTGGCGGTATTATTTGAAGTGATTAAATGATGAATTGGCTAAATTTCTTCGCACATTGAAATGATATTTCAAAACCAATTACACATTGTAGGTTTTAGATGTTCAGTAAACATATTACTGTATTTAATACTGTATAGTATTTTTATAATAAATTGAAATAAATTCAAACTATAATTTCTCATTTTTCAATATTGATTAATTTTTCATATTATTTATTTTTATTGCGTGATTACTTTATGCATTATGCATAATATTTTAAAATATCGATATTTTTAATTACAGATATATTAGCCATAACAGCTAACAATATTAAAAATACTAGTATACGTTTGTATTTTTTTTAAAGACTACAGCAAAGATTTTTGATTTTATTGATCTCATCATATTCTTTAATTTTATCACTGTTAAAATCTTAATCCATTTTCAGTTATTTGCGTGTGTTAAGCCGATGAAATACCAGGATACTGAACATACCATTCGTCGTTATCTATTTCCAAAATATTTATTTTGGAAACGTTAGGACTTAAATATATAGAAAAATATTATTATATGTTTGAAAAAGTAATGTAAAATATTTGAAATAAAATTGAAAGTTAACCGGTGCACCACATCTTATCACCACTTATCGCCAGGTGGTAGAAAGGTGGGTGATACGTTATTTCTTAGCGATAGTATGGAAGCATGCTTACTTGAGCAGCATCGCGAGTCAACTTCATCGCGAAATCATAGTACACATTCTCCGCGTGACGTGCCATCTCTTCGGGTTTCTTGGTGAACGGTGAATACGAGATCCTCGACGTGAAAACGGAACAACAGGTACTGCTTGGGTACAACAGCACCGCGTACTTTTTATTCGTATCGACTCAGAACGTGTCGTACAAACGATTCAAGGATGACTCGATCTATTGATTCGTTCTCCCCTGTGTTGCCCGAGTATGATTTCGGATCATGTTTTTCCACATTGTCGACATAGTCAGACGTTTCTTGAAATTGCGTTCCGAGATAGTGACGTTTACATTAAGACCACGCGCTTTAATCGCGCTATTAATTTAGTAAATAGCAGTCTACATATAGTTTCGTAGGATGCCTTTTAACTGCTGTGATTTAATCCAGATAAAATCTCGAAATAACCTTTTCATTTCAATATCAGCGCTTAATTGTCACTGATAACGTTCCGCCTTCTTTCTTTGTTTTTAAATTTTGTTTTGTATTTCGCTAGTCATCGTTACCGTTCGTAAATAAAGTACAGATTGCAGGTAAAGTACAGGTATTTATTAAATTAAAGTACATTAAATTGAATAAATGCAGAATTTGAAATATGAAGGCATAATGTGCGTATATGCGTGAGCATGTGTAATAAGTATATTGAGGTATACTATGATAATAGAACATTATCCTAATTTTGTTTTATATTTTGTTCATTGTTGGTATCTTTCTCAAATACAAAAGATTACAGATATTAAACATTCAAAGCATATCAAAATGTTATATATAAAAGTTCAACATTGTATAGATACATACAAGATCAAAATACTTCAATTTAAATTGCATTCGACTGCAGTAACTTTTTTCTTTTTTTTTATATCAGTTATAGTTTATTAATAATCTTCTGGAATAAAGATTAATTCAAAATTTAGTATCACATGACGTGATGGGATATTTAAATTTACGTAGTGTTTAACAGTAGAATTTAACTTTCGTAAACGTTTTAATATTATTACGTAAAACTTTCTATAGAAAAATGAAAGAAATATCGATAAGAATGTGCATTTGCATAAATATTTACTGTCTAGTAATAAACTAGGAACTTAATGGAATTATTTCAAAATTGACCACGTTTTTATGTAAATGTGCGTAAAAAATTTCCAAGTGCTAAAACTCCCTGTTGTTTCACTTGTAGTTTCTATTCAATTACTTACATCTAGCTGGAACAAAGAGCTAGAACGTGGAATTCTAAAAAATTAAAGCCTTGGAGCGTTAATTTATGAGATTGATATTAGGCCTCTTACCTCTCGGTCTACTTGGATAATTTATAGATATGAAAGAAACGAAACGTTGACATTTAGTACCAATGTCTTAATTGTATGCAAGGTGCCATTATGATAAATTTTTTAAGAATCGCGATAACAATTTTAATTCCTACTTTATAGTCTTTTAAAAAATTTATGACCTAACGAAATTTATTGAATATACATTGATGAATCGTAGATATAGAACAGAAAATACAGAATCCGTTTCTTAAAGGAAAATATTTGATCTTCCAATATACTATACTAATCGCTTTGTTATAACCACGATTTAAGCGGTTTTTTTATCGGGTACTTAATTTCACGTATAAAACGTGATTCATTTTTCAGCATGGTTTCTGAGTCTTATTCGAACCATTATTACAGAAATTTGCACGCAATCACGTTGCTTATGCAAATATCGTATTCCCAGATACCATTTCATACAATGAGTTTATTATGAAAGAGCATAGATCATTATCGATGTAGTTAGCAATTTGCCAGGTGATTTTACTGCAACAACACAAACTACGTATGAAGGTACATGGTAAAAGAGTGTGCCAAGGTAAATCACTGAGGCTCGATTACACTTTCACACTACACTGCTCAACTTCACTGCACGTGTATTTAAATGCATTATCATTTATTTATCTCGCATGTCGTCGCTGCGTTAATTTAATCGTGAAGTGTCAGTCATTGATAATGCCTGATTTTAAAATTAAAACCCGTAAATCTAACATCTGTTGCCTGAGAATTTACGCACGATCATCATGGGTATTGCCACCTGCTATATCCCGTAGGTTTGTCGATCTGTTCGCCATTTAATATGCTTGTTTGTTCAGTTTCTGTTCAGGTACTACTTTGTTAACTGAATACAATAGTCACGACTTGCATCTTAAACGTTTTCTATTTCATTTCGAAATTTTCTAATTAATTTTCAGAAATTGTAATATTTTTTCATTGAAAATAATTGAGGATTTCTTTGGAAGAAGGGCGTATTAAAAATCGTGTTTCGTGATATTCAAAGTTGAGACTTTTTTTGTTTCTAAAACCATGACATGGATGAAAAGCTTATAAAATTTATATTGTATAAGATTCATTAGTAATATGGAATAAGACTATAATCAAGAATAAATTACAAAAATGCGATAATTGGAAAGGGGACCTATTTTGAAAAATACTTTTCTTTCAAAAAACTCTTGAATTTTATTAAATGAGAAATTATGTAAGCAAAAAAGAAGTATCTTTCATACTTCGATTAGGGTAAATGTATTTTTTATTTCTGAGAACGAGTCAACAAGAGGATTTTGAAAAAGCATTAATAAAAGAGAATTTGAAAAGATAATTTAAAAGAAATATACATGCAAAGATATTTGGAAGAATAATAGGTTTTGATATTTGTGTAATTTATAATTTTTAAAATAATGCAATGGTCATTTATAAGATATTGACAGCACGAATGTTAAAATGTATGTATGTACTTAAAAAGGTATTGTAATCTTGTAATCTCGCATTAAAACGCTATTATAAGGTTTATCAGGGTATATATAGTTTTTAAATAAAACTAAAAAGTATGTAATAAAAAATTTTCTTAGTATAATTATTGCATAAATAATTAAAACAATTTAGACATTATGATGTATAATACAAATTTAGAAAAAATAAGTATATCATATTCGATTCATATTATATAGTTTAAATAATTTGTTACATTCTTGTTACTATTGTTAATGTTTGGTCGAGTTCCCAAAATTATCTCAACTATTTCGAATGAAAATTCGATCCTTTGCTGTTTTTCGTTGTTAACAATTCAAACGTTTTTATGTAGTTTCTTTCCCACCTGCAATATCCACTCGACCGTGAAATTTTGCAACCATAATTTAAGATATCTATGAATCACTATACTTCCTTGACCAACCTTCAGTTATTCTTTTGCGTTTCTTTCCTATCCTGTTCTCACGAACAGGATACGTACAACAGTATGCATCGTACACGGAGGCTCGACTTGAATTATAATTGTTCCGTTTTTTTGCAAAGTTTATTATCATATTAACATAGCTCTGACTAGACTAATACTAATTTTAATCATTCAGATTTCTGAGACATTGCCACAGATTTCTTAGAATGTATATTTTTCTAATCATTATGCAATGAGAGTGTAATTTTCAATAAATATTCATTTTACGGACATAAAATAATATCAGACACGTGGATCTAAAAAATAAAAATAATGAATATTTTCCGAGGCATTGAAAGTTTATCATTTTTTGTATTTAAGCTGTTAGCTTTTGAGCAATTTTATTATGATATCAAATTATCGTAATATCTCGTGGTATTTGTAATTTTAATTAATTACGAATGTATTATATTTAATTACGATTACGATGTTTGGTAATAAAACTAATGAACAGTACCTTAATGAGAATTTTAGTAAATAGATTGATACAAATTTGGTAGTTTGTAGAATGCAATTTAAATTATAGTTAATCATAATATTCAATGTTAAGTAGCTTTAAACTATAATTCTGATAAGTAAATCGTTTTGATTTTGCAAAGTTATAAAATTGAGAAATTCAAATTGACACTTATTTTTCATAAATCTTTTTTTGTAGACCGCATTGTTTAGACAGTTTAGGTTATTTGTGGTTCCTAAACCTTGCTCCCACGCTTTCTGAGAATCATCTACATGATATTTACTCTTAGGTCACCAAAATTCTAAATATTAATTGCCTATATCTTCTTATGAGTTATTTGTTTTTTTTAATTAATTTGTTTCATTTTATGAACAAATTTCTTGGTTACTTAAATTTTTTGTAATTGTTTCGTTTGCTATTATTTAAATAATGTATTGAAAATCTTATTTGCGATATTTAATAGTAATTTTTTACGTATTTCTTTATTCTTTCCTAGTAAAATTTTTATAAATCGTTTTTATTTTATTTGTAATATTTACATACCTTGTAATATAATAGTACATATTTAATATAATAATATATTATACTATTTATACTATTACATTATATATGTATATTTAATACAATACTATTATATTACATATAATAGTAATAGTACATAATATAATAGAAGAACTGTATATTATTCTATTCTTTTCTATTTTCTTTTTAAGAAAACAAGGATTGATAGTTGAACAAAAGTGTTAAAAATATAGTGATACTTGTATTCGATATATAATGATCAAAACACAAGGTAATCAAGCAGAGCATTTGTCTTACATTTCAAGTCCTGGTCAATCTCTTCCGTAATACTTTCAAATCGGTATTAATAATAAATTGCTTTATATCCTTTGCTAATTTCTCATTTGCTGCGGCAATTGTACTGGGCTTCATAACGTCATATTCCTCTTCTGTAAGAAATTTATTTCAAATACTTGAATTATATCATCGAATGCATCACTCTTCAAATATTTCCAATTATTATCTTAATTTAATTAATTAAAATTCTTTTCCCTAATTAAGTTAGATGTACTGAATTTTAATTAAAACAAAATATTCATCAGAATTGTGTTTTAAATAAAAAATAATGCATCGTCTATGTTATTTTCAGAAATAAAAAATATAAATACAATATGTAAATATTAATTGGTCGTGAATTTGAAGAAGATCTTTCATTTGTTCTTGTTCATTTTGTTAACACACCTTTGGTGTCAACTACTGAACCGCCTGCTTCGCGAATAATTAACACACCCGCTGCAACATCCCAAGGCTGAAGTCTGTCCATGTACAGACAGTCCAATGCACCTCTTGCTACGAATGCTAAGGCCAATGCAGCCGATCCTGAATACCTAATTCTAAACATTAAGTTAATTGTTTAATAATTAATTATTTACATTATTTGATATATTCATAAACGCTAAAAATACTGGTAAAAATTCATGAATTTTGGATTTCATTAGGAAGAAAAATGCCTATATATTACCAAAAGCCTGAGACATATTGAGATTTATATTTTCTAAGTACTTTTTGGAATTATTAGTTTAGCGATCGATATTTATTCGAAATATGCATAAATATAGAAATATAGCATTGTATTATTATGCTGTTATTAATCTTCTATTATATTCCTATAATACTTTTATCGTATTCAAATTTCACTCTTCCATTTATTCATACTGTTCATAATTTTTGTATCGCCTTCAGGAAGAATAATTATTAGCTTTTGCTTGCTTAAAACATTCCAAATGACGTTGTAAAAATATTTTTCATTCTTCTAATGGCTTCGAAAACTCATTAATTTCTACCAATTTGTCAATTTTTTTAATTCTCGATTTTTATCAATCTTTCAAACATTTATCCGAGATAATTATTTCTTCTTTTATTCAAACCATTTAATTAACAAAAACCACAAAAAATATGCATGTATTTATACTTATACACTCACGCTTGCGTATTTTCAATAAAAGCTTCCAATCTACCCCATCGGATATCCCGATTTTTTGTATTAGTAACTTGAAGCGAGAATACTTCCAACTCTATCAAGGAATTCTTCAACTCTGAAAGAGATAATATGTGTAACGAATATTTAATTACTTGTTGCATTTGTCTCGCAAGATTATGTACTCCGATTTTATAACAAATGAACGAAGTTTATAATTATAAAACAGTTGAGAACCATCATTGGAAGATAAACGAGCAATTTTTTATTTTTTAATTGCTTCTACATGGTATGTAGATTTAGGTTTCCAGTGAGCGTTCTGATAATAGCATGTTCCAGTAAATTGTTATTACCAGTAGCGTTGGAAGTCTTAATAGGCTTGTCGTTCAAGAAAGCTCCTTGTCCTTTCATCGCAGTATACAATTCTGAAGTAAGCGGGTTATAAATAATTCCTATCACAAGTTCCTTGCAAATTGCCAGAGCAATGGAAATGCAAGTGTATGGGTGTGAATGTATATAGTTCAAAGTTCCATCTATGGGATCTATGATCCACGTTGGCTTGTCCGTCAACTCTGGTTTCTTTTTATCAGTAGCCGTGGTTTCCTCACCGATGAATCTGTTTGAACATATTTCGATTTATCCAATAATCCGGTAATACATTTAATCTTTTGCAGTCCTGTATCAACATTTTATACTATTCTATTCCATCTACTTTGATTTTAACCTCTTTATTACTGACTACTAACTCTTTGATTACTAATTAAACATTTTTCTACATTTACATTTTTATTGCTTAATTCTTGTTTTCAAAATAGGATAGTAACAGTGATTAAATAATCGTTGAATGCAAGGCTGCGCGATCGTTCTTCTGCTCGTTTTATTGCTTAAAAATAACAGCTAATTGGTAAGTAGAGTCGAATTAACTGCATACTCGAAATTTGTCGACGCGTGACTAGCATTGCCGTTTATCGAGGTTGTACTAAATTGAAGCAAGGTAATATAGAAGTTTATTTTAAGGGAAATTTTGCTTTAGGAAAACGATATTTGCTTTTCTATAAATTTGTTCTTGAAATATATATATATAAAAACAGCTGCGGTATTTTGTGCATATAGCATGAATTTAGGGCTGACAGTAAAGGGGTTAATATATAAAGTATAGGTTTTCGTCTTGTAGCTTAATTTGACAAATTATCAATATATCAATGTAAATAGATTATTGGTTAGAAGAATAGGAAAACAGAGTCAAATTCTGGATTTTGGATATTGTGTTCTTATTTCTGAAGCAGTTGGAACAGAACGTTGAATGTAACTTGGACCGCAAAAAATTAACCTCTTGACTACAATAAATGATTATATACATCCAGTAATACGTGCATTTGACGTGCAATATCGTGAGACATTGTATATTTCGAATAAATTATTCTATTTTGAAAGAAATTATTCCATTGAATGTGCTGCGAACGAGAATTAATGTAGTAACTTAGTTGTAGGTTATGTAATCAATCTATATCTTCGGACACGACATCGTTTATCTCTAAAGTGCTCTACAGGTCTTCGCAATCAAAGGTTTAAAATCATAATTAGGATCGTACCTATATAACGCTACACCTACGGATCAACTTATCGGTCGAATGTTGATGAAACAGACTATGTATGAATCATAAAAAGATAAAATAGGAAAAGAGATAATAAGATGAAATGAAAGTAGAGTTCAGATTATCCGGAATATCTGATAACCGATACATTTGCCTGAGCTATTCTTTGAAAACTATTGCAAATTATATTTTACACGAATAAAGAAATCATGACCACGTTTATCTACAACAAAAGTCGAGTTCGTCAATCCAATATGTTTTCTGAAAAAGAGCCCTTAAGTCAAAATGGCGAATCGAGTAAATCGCACTGGAATTTTTTAAGAGAATATTTTTTGACACATAGTAATTTATTAAAGACGATTTATCATAGATCTATGGATCCTTCAATTGTTTGATTCCTATTGTAACTGTAGCTCTATTTCTCAGTTAGTCTTTATTCGGGTTTAACCGTTTGAGTCTCGAGCAGCGCGATCGCGCTGTTCAGATTTTATGTCGAGAAAACCCAGCACATTTCGAGCGTTGTGAACAACTGACCTAAGTACATCACACAGCTTCTTCTTTTAATGTAAATAATATATTTTACGATAGATACAATACTGTAATAATAATGCAGTAATACATTACAAAATAAAACATTTTGTATTTCATTGTTATCTTTTCAATCATTTTTATCAAACAAAACTTGAAATATTTATAAACTTACAGTACGCATATGTAATAATACAGATGTATTTCATAAAATAACAAATTACAAATTAAAAATATTTTTGTTATGAAGAAACAATTTAAATGGAGAGTAACACTTATAATTTGTAACATCGGTGTTTATACACAAATTATATGTGATCTTTTTATTGCATTTTTGGTACTGCATAAAGTGCAAGAAGCGCTCTCGCGCTGCTTGGGTCTTCCCGTACTCATTTAGAGAAAGCGCGATTATGCTGTTCGGGATTCTTCGGCAATGATTTTTCAAAACCCCCTGGAACTCAAACAGTTAAGAGAATGCATTGCATTCCATAATTCCATAACTAGTTTTCAATTTTACACTAATTTCATTTAAATCGAAACTATGCTGCTAGCTCAAGCTATATTTATCTACATATTTTATTTTTATTAATAAATTGAATCGTATTTTGAATTATATTCTTCGTCTTTATTATTTTGTATGTTAAACTACTTAATAATTATCCGTTATATTTGATTATCAGAGTATGCCAGATAATCAGAATTCTATTATACGTATATAACCCATGAAATTAAATGAAAGTGATAACGTTAAATACAGAATTTTTAATTTCAATTGAAAAAACTGTAGTTTAGATCACGATAAGTTTAGTGTTAATCAGAACTATCAGACCAATCAAAATGATTGTTTTCAAAATTTGTATTTCTGTAATTGTTGAATATATAACAACTTTTGGAAAAATTAATGCCGACTTTTGTTATTACAGGAACATAGCACATGTATCTATTTATTTTCATCGCTCCACTTTAATTACTATGATCCACGTATAGTCTGTATGTATAATATTTAGATACACGTCACAGGTCGGTACTTCTAGTGTTTATAGGCCAACGTCGATAACTTACTCGTGATCTGGAAATTTCGTTTTTAGATTTTGGATTAGTGCATCTTCAATCTTTTTGTCATAATCTGTTACGAGGTCCCATATGTGTTCCTTGGACTCTACGATCTTTTGTCCTTCGAAACCACATTTAAATATCTAAGGAGAAAGCGAGAGATAAAAATTATCAGATAACTGCTGGCTCAAAGATAAGTAAAAGGCAAATCATTCTTATAATGATACTATTCTCTATAAGACTTAATACTGACGTATTAAAAATAATCGATTTCATAACTCTGTTAACTTAATTCCGTGTTATTTTCCCTTTTAACTATTCTCAAAGTAATACACAGAATAATAAACTTGATTAAATTTGTAAGATTCGTAAAAATGACTACCACTTCTTTAACGGTAATAAATTTCACTAAATCGCAAGAAATTTAATTTAACAACGATTCTTTCTCAATTCTTTTAATAAATAAATCTAACAATAATTATAATAATCAATTTTAACAACTTCAAAATTCATTCAAGAATATGACAAAAGATACGAAAACTGAAAAAGAATTCGAAATTGATAACGAAGTACATGTCATTTCTTAACAACACAATAACAATTTTCTTTTAATTTCTTTCAAAGAAACAAGAAAACGCGATCTCAGTTGACCATGTGGTGCTTCGTAAGACAGATAGAATTTCACCAGAAGGAGGAAACAATTGTGAGACTTACCTCGCCTGCCTTCAAGGCTAGTTCCTTGGCAAACTCAAAGTAATTTCTGATATCCAGCTCGCTTGACATGATCACCGATGCTGAGGCTTTCGACAGAGCGACTGATCGATTGAACGCGCGGACCGCGTGGCGGGATCCTCTTATCTCTAACATCAGAGATACAGAATTGCGCAAACGGCATAGGTAGTTGAGCCTAAACATTTGAAGAGGGTTCTTTAACCCAGTTATTGCATTGTGTTCTGTATCCGAATGTATTTTTCTAACCTTCGAGGTTTCTGTTCAAGTTGAAAGTTACGAGTTTGAAGTTTGCAGTTCGATCGATCACGCTTTCGTTTGAGACAGAGTTCATTCATAGGAACGATTAACCTTTTCAACTTTTTTCATATTCGGTTACAATTCGTATATAACTCGTATACGAACGATCCAGTAAGTTAGATACGGTAGAATCTCGATTAACCGTACATCCGTTATCCGAACACCTATTATCCGGAATTATTGTTCGATTACTTGCACAATACTAAGAGTACAGGAAAGCAAATATACACCTGTCTAATGCATTTTAAATATACTCCTTCGTGTCATACTTTACTTTTTGTATTTACTATAATTTTTATATTATATTTATATTTAACATTTACTATATAACGAGTTGAATATAGATTTGGACAAGGGACTAGAAAATCCTTCGTAAGTTTACAGCAATTATTTACAGCATTCTTAAAATTATAAGCTTTTAAAGTCTTATAATTATAAATAAGATAATCATTGCAAATGAGATAGAAAGTATTTTTTTTGTAGGTTAGAGGAAGCTCTTTTAGTTATACATTTATGAGACTTATTTTTATTTATTTATTTAGATTTATTTTTTATTTTCTAATAAATTTATTTTCTAATAAATTTCTAATAAAAAATGCGTAAACTGTTTAGAATTTTCGATTTGAAAGAAGAGAGATTTGATAGTGCATAATATTTAAATAAAATTTAATGACAGATAATGTTTATAATATATGTTATAATATAATTTTCAATTTTAATATATTAATATAAGATAATATTATTGTATATAAACTAGTTGTATATAATATATATTTAAATATAAACTTACTATCTTTCTACTAATTATCGATGGATATTAAGCTATTAGAATTATTTACGTGGTAATACTTTGTCGTATTTGAAACGGAAAACATTTGATTTTTCACTTTTGGTATAACAATCAAAATAATATTTTTATGGTATTATATAATATTGTACAATATTTTCTTCCTTTTTGCAAAAATACTCTATTTTATTCATTAACATTCTTTAGTTAAAATTTCATTATTTGAAACTTATTAAATATACTAAAATTAAGAATTATTTCTTAAACCAAACGAAATTTTCGTTTTCTTTTTTTATAATTTTCTTTTATAATACTTTTTATCGTTCCTACATTATTTCCTTATTTTCTACTATGACTTAAGAACTTGTTTTAGAACTTATAAATAGCCTTCTGCTAAGTTTGAAAGTCTGCAATTATTATAATTAACATTAATAACACATAGACTGTTAAGTGTTTAGTATTCTAATCTGACGGCTCGTGTGAAATACGTTTTACATGCAATTTTACATCCAAAACTTTTCACACTTGATATAATTCGTGTTATAAATGCCACGTTATGATCTTATTTAACATGAGTGGTGATGGATTGCTAAATTGTTTGAAAGTACAATTTTAAGTCAGGTACGTGTAATATTTGACATCGTCGAGAATTTTTTAATTTATGGTAATTTCTGAATTTCGTCTAATCAACTTAGTCGGCATTGAAATTTTAAGAGAACCGATTCAAAGAGAGTTAATTCAAAGAGAGACTCAATAAGAGTTAAATTACTCGAGACTAAATTTACGCGATGAGCAGTGTATTCATCGGAAGTTTTGTTAGTAGACGTTTAAATCGTCGCTTCGTGTATCAGTCTCTTCTGCAGCGTCTTTGCATCGGCTTTCTTTATTAGTTTTACCAGTTCATTCACTAATTTGTGATTACCTGCTGCTATTACTTTTGGTGCCATAATATTGAATTCGCCTCCTAGAACAGAACGTTTCTTTTACTTAAAACGTTAATAATTTTTATTGATGTTTTTAAACAATTTTTAATATTGTATCGTGTAAAATTCAACATAATATACTACTTTCTTTAATTGTACAATATTTCCAACATTTATATATATTGAAATATAATATTTTATCTACAGATAAGATATGTAACTGAAGTAATCAATTGAAAACTGAACATATCAAACGAGAACATATCGGAAACTATACATTTTCTTTAATTCTTTAATACTATATAATATTGTATTAGTATTATACATATAATATATTATATGTAATATTTATAATTATAAAATTCCAAAAGTCTAAAAGTATATTATAATTGTATAATATTACATTAATATGTCCATATTAATACAATTTATTATTATATTACATTTTGTCTACATATTTTATCTTTATATTTTGTTTACATATCCCCATAATAAAAGAAATGGTCAATTTGAAATTTTAAGAATGAAAAGAAAACATGAAATTCAAATTACATATGACATGACCTACCATTTGTATCTACCACTACACCACCAGCTTCCCTAACGATAAGTACACCAGCAGCCACATCCCATGGCATCAAATTATCGGTGTGATACCCTTCTGCTGCACTCATTGCCACATAACAAAGAGTTAGTGCAGCTGATCCCATTGTTCGTATTCCATGTGCCACTGAAACGAAGGCCTCTACTCTACCAAGTGTAATATCCCTGATATTCTCGATCGTTGCATACGAGGCCTCGCAACAAAGCAGAGAATGCTCCAACTCTGTAAAACAATTTATTTTACTGTATCAATCGTTCATTTGTGAAAAGTCGAAGATACTCCCTTTATTGATAATTCGTTGCAATATATACCAAAGATAGATTTTCGTACAGGGTAATTATGAAAGATTCAGTGGGTTTTGAAATCCTATTATTCCAAAAGTATAAGTTGCTCTCCTTTATAACCAAAAGATACGACAAACATTGATTTTATCGTGATTCAGCTAAAACTCGAATAGTTTCTCTTTCCTATCTCGTATTATTTGATATTCTACTTATGATACTTTGTGAAATACAGTTATTTAAAATCCGACGTATACTTTGTATTTACCTATAGTATTATTATTATAGTATACTTTTGTATTTACCTATATATTTCTATAGTTGGGGTATCGATGAGATTCGTAAACATTTTTCTAAGTATAAATTATAAAATATGTATGAAAATTATTATATAGATGATTTACAAATACTTGACAGTGTACAAACAAAGCTTAGAAAAGAAGAATATTTCCGATAAACATATATTAACTATATCTTAGAATACTAATGTCATTAATAAAATTTGTAAACAGAAATTGGATAAGGATATTATTTACTTAAAGTTCTGATTCAATTTAATTATTTAATAAGTTTTAAGGATTAATTATAATAAGGAATTGATAATTTGATGATATTGACGATAACATAAATGAAATGCTAAATTTGTTTACATTATTTATATATAATTAATATTTGTTACATACCCAATTAAAACAATCAAAACATTGCACGAAAAAATGAACAAAAGTAATCGTGTCTAAATATCTTTAAATTTTCACATATCTAAAAAAAATAACTATTGAAAACATTGTATATAAAAAGCTAAGCTTACATAATACTTTCACGCATGTACTTACTTTCCTTTCCATTTTTATTTTATAAAATACATGTTACTCGATGACTTAACTCACGTGTCGTAATGCGTAACATTACATAATTCTCTTCTGTATCTTTAGTTGTACAATACAAACAGAATATATCAAAATAACAAAATACCGAAATAACTCACCTTCTATACTAGAGCTTTTGATAGGTTTCCCATTTAAGTAGGCTCCTCGTCCTTTCCTAGCTGTGAATAATTGCTCCAACACAGGATTGTAGACAATGCCAATTTCTAGTTCCTTTTCCACTGCCAGTGCAATTGATATACAAGTAAAAGGGAACGAGTGTACAAAGTTCGTAGTTCCATCGATCGGATCGATGATCCACGTAGGGTTGTCTGTTAGCTCTGGTAAATGATTTGCAGACGAAACCGTTTCTTCACCGATAAATCTATTAAAAATAAAAATATGTAACATCAATTTTAGAATTAGACCTACTAACATTTTACTTATACCTTTACTTTTATTACTATACCTAGTACTATACTTACTATACCCTTACTCGATTTCGTACAGGCAATGAATGAACAAAATAATTTTGAGATAACAATAAGAGAAATTGATTCTTGTCATTTTAATGTAACAGCAGAAAAATGAAAGATAAAAGAAGAATAGAATATAAAAAATAATCAATAGCCGTATATAATCTTGTACGTTAGGAAAATGATAATGGATATTTCATTCTTCTTTACCACATTTTTTGCGGATTATGGATTTTGTCATTTTAGATTTTCCTTAAATGAATATCTCTTATACTTGGACAGATTTTTATATCATCTTTACAATATCTTATTTAATATATCATAAGAAGACATAAATTTCTTTCCCAATCAGATATTGTAGATGAAGCATGCAAGTGTACGTATGAATCACAGATAAAAACGAAATAAGTGAAACAAATAGTGAAAAACTGATTATGTGTGTATCGTAAGAAAAATCATGCAGTTTTGAATCAAAAGTTCAAGAATTTCGCCAACTGTGTTAGATTTCGCATCGAATCTTGTACTTCATATTGCAGACAAACTTATGAGAAACGTACTTGTGCGTTGGAAACTCCTTTGCTAAATTATGTATCAAAATTTCTTCCACCTTCTTGTCAAATTCAGTCACGAGATCCCAGTCTCCAGCTTTAGTCTCAATGTTTTTGCATCCTTGAATCGCATCCCGGATTACCTAAAGGATAGAAAATTTTGTTATTTCTTAAGAATTTCGATTTTAGAATATTTGTTTATTTAATTAACAAGCTTGTCTTTTCCTCGATAACCTTGTCTTGTAAAATGCACTTTGGTTTCATATTCGGATTCCCAGAGTTAATTAAATTAACCAAGATTTGATCATAAACATACGATATCCATAATTTGATGGATTTTGAGTGAAATTTCGTTTGTAAATTTCTTGTTCTGACAAATTAGGTGGAAAACAATTATATTTCATACGTGATAAGATTTTCAAACATACACTCGATTATATAATAGTCGTAATTATGCAATAGGTACTTTACATGGGAAATGCATCAGACTACGTCGGAAATTCTTGTAATTGTTACGATAGTATTTCATATATATTTAAATACATATACCATTATAACATGTGTAGATGCTAAGAATAATTGCACATATTATATAAAAAAAAATCACGATTAATTTACAGTCAATTTTAGGTGACTCTTTGTATTTACTTTATAGGTAACAATTCTTTATTTGCTCATACGTTTTTTTTTAATTACTTCCTTTTAAATCTATTTTTCAATAAAATACACAACAAAATATAAAATAAATACGGAAGTGTAAATAAAAGATGATCGATGATTTACGAACCTTTTTATCTTTATGGGAATAAAATACGTATCTTAAAATCACGTGTAATTAGTCTGTACTTCAACGTAACGAAATAACATTCTAAGTGATTTTATAAACCGTTTGATTTTATCTCTGACCAATTATTATAATAGTACTATATATAAATTATACGTCAAAGTAAACTACCGCAGTACCACTTTTTGTTTAAAAGTTGTATTTGTATAATTGGTATTACGTACATATTTTGGTATTATACCATATATCGTTTAAGGAACATAATTCTCGTAAATGTTATTATTAAATAAATAAATAAAACTATTTTATTCTTCTTTGTATCAAAGCAAATTTTAACATTTCTTTTAAAATATAACTAAAATATTGTTGATTAATCTTATGAGTTAATTATTATTAACTAATTATTTTTAATAACAATAGCAATATTTTTAACAACGATATTACTTTGAAGACTAATGTATAAAAATTTCAATTTCTGCAAGATAGGAAGAGAAAAAATAGGTAGAACTTTCCAATGAATTTATTATTAAACATATTTTAAATTTGACATATTATCACAAAACTTGAAACATTTCCGTTATTTCTAAATTTCTCAAAAAATTTGATTTTCGTGTCAGAAATTGTGTCAGGAATGATATAAATTAACCAATGATCAACAATGATCATCTTAATGGGATGTATCAATAATTCTGATCTCTAAAATTATTTTTAAAATAAAAAAATTTGTTACGGATGATGAATTAACTTCTAAAGTAATAATACCTTCCCAGATTCGATGGTTAGCTTCAAAACGAAATCGTAACAGTACTTCAGTTCTTGTTGATCGATCATATTGTCTCAAGGAGGAATCACTGAGTGTTGTCACAGTGCTGACAAGTTGTTTAGGTCGAAATAATTATGTCATTCGCGAAAGCTCCGGTTTTATTCAACGACTATCAACCCCCCACTATGATGTTACGACCGTATTGTCTAATATGAGCGTTGTACTCCAATCCATGTATGTTACATGTGATTGTCACTACCTGATTTCATGTAACTGTAATCAGTCTTGAAGAAATTATTCATCATTGTTGAATACTTTCAAATTTGTTTTATAACAAAATTTTATCTCTAAAATAACAATATTAAATTGAAACACTATATCGATTAACATTTATCTTTTATTTTTGTTTTTCCTTTTTTTTAAAAAAAAATAAATCAGAAGAACAGAAGTGAAAGATCTACATCGAATAACGTCGTTAAACAGAGTTCAAAAATATTAATTATATTAAATATATCGAACAACATTAATAACACTAATGAATTTTTATACTTTTTTATATTCTATATGTTTTTGAGAGCAGATTTTGAGAATTGAATTTGAACACGTTATTTTGTGGGTCTCGGATGAACCACGGTAGCTACTAAAGATAGAATTTTTTAGGATAAATTAAAATATTCTTCGATTTATTGAAAATTCTATAATATTGTATTACTCTGTTATCTTAGTTTATAATTTACCTTAGGATTATTATATCGTACATAATTTTGTTACAAAATACAATTAACCTTCTTATAACGCGGAACGTATTCCGCTAATTTTTATTAGTTTAAGGTTTTACTCAACATGGCTTCCTGCAACATGGAACGAATTAACCATGTTATAAACTAGTTGACTGCACAAAAGATTTCGAAAATTCTAATTGATTTTATTCGTATATTTACAACTTCGTTTCGAGATTTTCACAAATCGTAATTGAAATGTATACATACTTTAATCATCTATAAAATGTAATTGAATATAAAAAATATGTTTTTGCACACGAAAGATGACTCTCATTTCGTGAAATTAATAAGATTAATAATCAATATTAAGTTTCAAGTAATCAAATGATATATAAAATATTTCAGTAATTTATACATAATTTCTTTTTATATTCCAGTAAATTACATCATTATAGAAAATAACATCCACTTTATATTTTAGAAAAACTTCGAACTGCTGCATTCCCATAATGAGAAAACCGTCCATTGCAAAATGATATAAATAATTGGGACATACAAAAAAGTATAAATAAATATCAATTATATTATAAAATATGAACTATAGAAAGTCGGTAACACATTCTGCGAAAAAATGTATTTTTAAATGGATTGGTAATTCATTTAAATCTTAATAAATATTATTGAAAATTCTATATTAAGTGTCTATCTACAGAGACTGTGGAAAAATATTTTAATAAAGTAACAAAAGTAAAGAATTCTACATAATAAATAAATTCTTAGATAGTCTTAAGTAACAATGGACACTATATTAATCCTCTATAATCAGAATCTTCTTTATTTCTGGGAAAAGCAATTGAGGCATTTAATAGAATAGAGACACACACACGAAAGTACTACTTCAATCTTTTCGTTAAAATATCTATTATTTAACATACAAGTAATGCAATTAATACTAATTCCTTTTTTTAAGGATACAATAAGGTGTTCTTCTAGTATTCTAAAACAAAAATCACGATTCGAAGATTATTATGATTATGATTTATTATTATTAGTATTAGATTTGAAATCTTACGATAAAGGTATACGTCAAATTTCAAAATATTTATTGCTCTTTTCCATCAATGGTCACAATTCTAATGCAACATAATTTCTCTATTATAATTAAAATTGAAGGACTAACAATCGCTATAAATATAAATATATAAATATCAGTGCTCGCAATGGTTCAGTAATGCAGTATAACAGTGGAGTGATAAATAAATAAAATAAGAATTGAAGAGTACAGATTATGTAACTTTTAAGTCACGTGACGTTACAGAGGGTTAAAGAGCAATCGATAGAAATCTCGATTAAGACAATTGACTTCTTTCATCAGGAAAAAGAAAACAAAACGACAAAACTATTCGATTAAGTTGGTACACAGGTTAGTAACGTATCTTTAAAATGTGACGTTATTTATGCATGTGAAATCGATAAAGGTAAGAATAGACGTGATGAATCGGTAAACTAATGTTTCAAGTGTTTCCACACCGTATCCATGTGTGCAACTTGTTCTACGTCTGGACCACGTGTACACACACGAAACTCCTCATTGTTATCTGTGTGACTGGAATAATCGTTAACACCCTATCAATCAAAAGTGTACTGACTATCACGTCGTAATATATACAATCATGCGTCACGAAAGATTTTGATACTTAGAATCACAATTCTCACTGTGATCACTTGTCGTATTGTTCTCAGACGATGCTTGGAACCATTCCAGATATCTATAAACATCTAAAGTATAAATAAATAAATGGACTTTTTTAAAAATATCGGAAATATCCCCAATTCGGTTGAATTTAAATATTATAGATTCTATGATAGTAATTATTGTACAATATTATGAATGTTCATGCTCTTAACTGAAACAAAATGGGCAAATAACTTACGTGAAATATAAGAATATATAATGAAATAACGGAATAAATATAATATATATAGTGAAAATAAAAAAATAATATATAATGCCAAAAATTGTTTTAAATTAAATTTATTCATATCAACGAGAATATGCTTTAGTAGAAAGAGATAAATCAAAATTAAAAAGAAAACAGGAAAACATAACAAATGTAACATCATATAGAAAAAAAAAGATATATATAATTCAGAAAAAGGTGTATATATAATAATAATAATAATAATAATAATAATAATAATAATAATAATAACGGTATGGTATGGTATGACCATGTTGGTATTTATAACAGTTACTTAGATATTACAATTATATCTTAAATTGCAACAAGTTTTTTTCCATATTAATTAATGAATTTTTTTCAATAAATTTTATCACTTCAAATTAATTCATAGTTGAACATAGAGCACGATGGCGAAATACTTAAATTTATTCCAACAACTTTGTTTAACTTCACTTAGCTTCTTAATACCTTGATTGCTGCTGACACGATAGTTGTGTCATGGAAATTTTGACAACCAAAGATCATTGACGCGACAAGTGTGTTAAATCGTTAATAAAAATATTCTACGCAAGTTGTACAAAAAATTGAAAAAGGATTATTAAGCATTTTATGTGTAAATATTGTAAAACTCCATGCATGTAGAGAATTGTTTTGCATTTTGTTACTTTATAAAATATTGTTAAAAAATTTGTATACATCGGTACTTGTAAGCTACTATGTGAGTGTATATCATTTCCGTAATTTCAACATTTTCACATATATTCTATAGGTTCATTTCCAGTAGGATTTAATAATTGTATCGACCCGATTAATAACAAATATGTGTTTAATAACATATTCAATATTTTCATATTTTCTCGTTATTAGTAAATTCGTTTGAGGGTTCCATAAATAATATCGAACATTTAAGAGATAAATATAATGAAATTATGCAAAAAGTTGCCATAGATAATGGAAAATTCAAAATATAAGAAACTACAATTACTATGTGTACTATAATGTAACCTTTTACAATTTGAACATTATAATTAAAAGTTAATTAAATTAAATACAACTTTAAATGAAAAATAAACTATTTTTTGAATATCAATATGGAAAAGCAATATTTCTGTTGACGGGTTTACTGACAAATAATGCAATAACATTGTTTTAGTTTACTTTATTATATTTATGTTTACACGCAGTTCCCGGCGTACCCCTGGAAACATTGTCGCGCTCACACACACATGCACACACGCGCGCGCGCACTGGCACACGTTCTTTGACTCAAAGCATGCCGGCACGCATCCTTTGCCTTGCACATATATCAACACACATCCTCTGTTCGCATATATATCGAAACATATGCATTGCCTTACATCCTAACAATTTCTGTGTTATTCCATTTATAATGCCTGAATTCCATTATAAGATTTTAAAAAATTACAGTTATAAACTTAAACTAGAAAATTTTTTTGGGGCAGTTTCCGCATATGTCATATTTATTCTGATCTATATATATGTATATTTAAAGCATTTCATCAGTGCGTACAAGTATTCATAAATAAATAGACAGTTTACAAATTATAAAAAAATTTATTCTTGAATCAATATTAAAATTAACAAAATTTAGCAATAAAATTTAGAAATAGAAAGATCGTTTATATAAAGTGAAAGTAAACAAAGTTACACGAAAAGAAGTATAATAATTCCTATAACAAAGTTCGTACGATAAATCTTATATTAATAGTCAAATTTGTGCAAAATATGTATTCAAAAACGTTTGTTAATACATAGTGTTTACATTAAAATCTTGTGTAATTACTTGATTATTTTAAGTAAATCATATTCTTTAAAACAGTATAAATTTTACCATAAATAAAATAAGTAAACCTCTTTTAATGTTACAGAATCAAGGTGGACCTGGTGGACCAGTTAGCCAGAATTCTAGTTCACAACAGGGTCCTGGAGGACCCATGGTACCAGGGCAAATGGGACCAAATGGGCCTCAAGGAACATCTCACATGATGCAATCTGGTCCAAATCAAATGAATACCAATGGACCAGGACAAATGAGCAGTGGTGGACCTGGTCAAATAGGTCCAGGAGGACCAGGTCAAATGGGACCAGGTGGTCCAGGACCAATTGGACCGAGTCACATGGGACAAGGAGGTGGTGGGCCACCTGGAGGTCCTCATATGGGGCAGGCTCCTACTCAAATGGGTCCAGGAAGTGGACCCGTATCACAAATGGGTTCTGGGGGTCCACCAAATTCGCAAATGGTACCTGGAGGACCAGGACATATGAGCGGACCACCAGGACCAAGCCATATGAATGCAACTGGGCCACCAGGACCTGGACATATGAGTGCTGGTGGTCCACCTGGCCCAGGACATATGAGTACTAATGGTCCACCAGGATCTGGACATGTCAGTACAAGTGGTCCTCCAGGATCAGGGCATATGAGTGCTACAGGACCACCAGGTTCAACCCATATGAATGCCAGTGGTCCACCTGGAAGTCATTTAAATAGCGGGCCACCCATTCCAAGTCATATGAATGCAGGAGGTCCACCAGGATCTGGGCATATGAATACTAGTGGACCAGGAAACCATTTAGGGCCTGGTGGACCAGGTCAAATGCCTCCAGGTGGCCCAAATGCACATAACTTGGGGCCAGGAGGACCAAATCAAATGGGTCCTGGTGGTCCAAATCAAATGGTACCTAGTAGTCAATCCCCTATGGGACCTAACCCTATGGGATCTGTTGGTCCAGGGGGACAAATTGGTCCAAATGGACCTGGGCAAATGGGTCATAATGGACCTTCACCAATGGGTCCTAATGGTCCTGGACAAATGAGTATGGGAACTACTCCGTCGCAAATGGGAATGGGAGGACCTGGAAGTCAATTGGGTCCAGGAGGACCTGGTGGTCAAATGGGTCCTGGAAGCGGACCTGGAGGACAATTAGGACCAAATGGTCTTGGACAAATGGGACCAGGAAGTGGACCTGGAGGGCAAATGCCACCAGGTAATGGTCCTGGAGGACCTATGGGTCCCGGAAGTGGTCCTGGCGGACAAATGGGATCGAGTAGTGGCCCCGGAGGACAAATGGGTCCAGGAAGTAGCCCAGGGGGACAAATAGGGCCGGGAAGTGGTAGTGGAAATCAAATAGGACCTGGAAACCCTCCTGGAAATCCGATGACACCAGGAAGCGGACCTAGTGGACAAATGGGTCCAGGGAACGGACCAAGCGGACAAATGGGTCCGGGGAGTGGACTTAGTGGTCAAATGGGGCCGGGAAATGTTCCTGGTGGACAAATAGGACCAGGAAATGGTCCGAATAGTCAAATGGGACCGGCAAGCGGTCCAGGTGGACAGATGGGTCCAGGTGGACAAATGGGACCTAACGGTCCTGGAGGACAAATGGTTCCAGGCGGTCCAGGTGGACAAATACCGCCAGTTGGCCCGACAAGTCAAATGGGACCTGGTGGTCCCGGTAGTCAAATGGGGCCAGGTGGTCCAAACAATCAGCTGGGTCATGGTAGTGCAAGCAATCAAATGGGACCAAGCGGACCAACTGGGCAGTCATCTTCTGGTCAGATGGGACCTGGTTCACAAAATCAACAAATTGTGCCTGGAGGTTCAGCTCCAATTGGACCTGGCGCACCTGTGAATCAAATGAGTCAGACTGGACCTGGTCAAATTGGTCCCACTGGACCTGGAGGCCCGCCTGGTGCTGGGCAAGAAAACTTGAATGCTTTACAGAAAGCTATCGATTCTATGGAAGAGAAAGGACTTCAAGAAGATCCACGTTATTCTCAACTACTTGCTTTACGGGCTCGTCAAGGTAGTATGGGAGAGAAACAAACATTTAGTTCACAACAGTTACAGCAATTGCGGTATGTCATATGAAATATATGGTTAATTTATTATCTCTTTATTTAAATCAATTGTGTAATGAGATTAATATTTCATACATCACCATTTGCAGTGTACAGATAATGGCATATCGATTGTTAGCCAGAAATCAACCATTATCCCAACAACTTGCACTTGCAGTACAAGGTAAATTATATGGTGGTATTAGTTGGTGTTGTAGGTGACTACTTTATCTTTTGTATTGCTTTACAGACAAGCTCACGTTTTAAAGCGTCCGAAAAAAAACCGACTAGAGGTTGGATAGACTTATAATGAATCTAATAAATTATTTTAAGCCAAAAATGTCATACATTAACCGTTTTGGATCCCAAACAGCGCTATTTAGATTTCATGTCGAAAATTCCTTTACATTTAAACAATATGGACAACTGACGGTGCACTCGGAATAGAAATCGCGCATTTAACTTTATGACATATGTACATCGCATTGTTGCTTTTTTCATGTAGATAATACATTTTGTATTTCGTTGTTATTATCTCAATAATTTGTATTGACCAAAAACTAAGACAAGCGCCGTCGCACTGTTCGGGATTTTTCGACAATGCTCTTTCAACAACCCCTGCTATCCAAATGGTTAAGTGAATATAAATGGAATATCCATTTCTTATGCGCAGAGAAAGATTCTGTTATTTTCATGTATTTTCCTGTATTTTATTCAGTTTTTATCACAGGAACTTTTATGTCGAGTTATACTTATAATTTTTTATTTATAGAACAAGAAAACAGAAAATAAGTAAGAAAAATAATTCAGAATACAAAGGGTTAACTAACTATATAAGTACATAACATATAACAACATTCAAAGAATATTAAATAATCATTTAAATTATTTAGGTTAAGTTAAAGATCTCATAAGGTTTTCAAATAACGGTCCTATGTTTAAAAATTCTTTTATGCAATAATAATCTTAATATATTAAAATGACTAATGCAACTATAAAGTGGAAAGGAGAACGAATGATAAGGAAAAAGAATAGAAAAATGAGTTTCATTTAAAAGGTATTAATAAACTCATTAATAGAACTTTCTAATAAGCTCGTGATTTCAGCGCAGAAAAAGTAGATAATTGGTTATATTTAAGTAAGATTATTTATTTAAATTTCGGAAATTTTACGTTAATTTGAACCACACTGTGTTTTTCTGCTATTCGTCATATTGTATATCACTTGTATATTACTTACTTTCAAATATTTAATTTTCTCTAACTATAAATCTTAGATTTTGTGCGGATTCAAAAAAGAACTCGAACAATGATATGGTGTGTTTTCTTGCTAAAGTAGATCCTCTTAATGTACTATTTTTGTTATATATTTTTAATAAATGAAGATAAACACATAATGTACATGATATTTTAGCTTAAAATAATTTATCAAGGCATTAAAAAGTTTATCTTTTTTCAAGACGTTTTGTACATATGAATTTTGTTTCTATTTGTTTTTGTTTACAATTTTTTTTTGCGTTTTTCTTTTAATATACATTATTTTATGTTCCAAAAGTTATACTGAATAATTTAATTGTTATGTAATGATTATTTAATAATTTAATTTATTAGTGGCTAATATGAATGATTTTTATTTGTAATTAGATGTACTTTGCATTTTATTTTCTGCTGAACTTTCATCTCTTTATATTATGAAAATACAAAAGTAGAGTAGAATGATCCATAGTGGGGGTTTGATGTAAGATTAATGTAAATAGGTGGAGCACCTCCTCCTCCAGGTATGGCACAGCGTACCCCTATAGATCCATCTCAAGGTCCTACTACTACTACAGGTCCACAAATTTCTGGACCAACCGTAATTGGCCCTGCAGTTCCCCCAAGGCCAGGATGTCAGACACCACAACAACAACAACAACCTCCTCAACCTGGTGCTAAAACTAACAGAGTGACAAGTGTGGCAAAACCAGCTGGTTTAGATCCGCTACTAATTTTACAAGAACGTGAAAACAGGTATTTATTGTATTTATTTAAAAGTTTATATTATTTCTACTAATATTAGAAGTTAAAAATTGTATTTGACATTAGTTAAATTATTATCAGAAGTATATATATTTTAATAAATATATAAATATAATATATAATAGATATTTATATAACAATAGGTAATAAATATTTTTCTGTTAATTCTGTTCAATCATAAATGCACAATGATAGAGTGGCAGCACGTATAGCGTTACGGATGGAACAATTGAGTAATTTGCCAACTAATATGCCAGAAGATCTTCGTATCCAAGCACAAATTGAGCTACGGATGCTTAGGGTATTGAATTTCCAAAGACAATTACGATCAGAGGTAATTATGAAAAACATTAATATGATTTTACTATAAATACTTCTTTTAGTTACAGTTATTATTGTTTTTAGATTTTAGCATGCACTCGAAAGGATACCACTTTAGAAACTGCAGTGAATGTAAAGGCCTATAAGCGTACAAAAAGACAAAGTCTTCGAGAAGCTAGAGCTACTGAGAAGCTTGAAAAGCAACAAAAATTAGAAGCCGAGCGTAAACGCAGACAGAAACATCAAGTAATTAAATTTGTTATTTTTTAGTTGTTGTTAAATGGAAGAATAATATATAATTTTAATTATTATTTTTAAAGGAATTTCTTAGTTCTGTACTTCAACATGGTAAAGATTTCAAAGAATTCCATCGAAATAATGTGGCCAAATTGGCAAGACTCAACAAAGCTGTTCTCAATTATCATGCAAATGCTGAAAGAGAACAAAAGAAAGAACAAGAGCGAATCGAAAAAGAACGTATGCGACGTCTTATGGCAGAAGACGAAGAAGGATATAGAAAACTGATTGATCAAAAGAAAGATAAACGATTAGCCTTCCTGTTGTCACAGACAGACGAATATATCAGTAATCTTACTGAAATGGTGAAGCAACATAAGATAGAACAAAAAAGGAAGCAAGTGGAAGAACAGAAGCGTAAAAAGGTATGAACGTTCATTATTGATCATTTTTAACTGTAATTAATTAGTTTCATCAATTTTATATGATTACTCAAATAGAAAAAAAAGAAACTACAAGATGGTGAAGGAGGGGAAGATGGTAACGCTAATGAGGATACTCGTGTTGGCGTTATTGAAACAGCTACTGGTCGCACATTAACTGGTGAAGAAGCACCGTTAATGAGTCAACTTTCAGCCTTCTTAGAATCTCATCCAGGATGGGAGCCAATTGAATCAGAAAGTGAAGATGATGATGATGATGATGACGAAGAAAACGATGGTGAAGAAAAAGGTGAACATAAAGAAAAATCTGCTGGTGATTCGGAAGAAGATAAAGTTAAGAAAACGATACATAAAGCCAAGGTAGAGGATGATGAATACAAAACAGAAGAACAAACATATTATAGCATTGCACACACTGTACATGAGGTAGTAACAGAACAAGCATCTATCATGGTCAATGGAAAATTAAAAGAATATCAAATAAAGGTTTGATTTTAATATATTTTGCATTTTAAACTACTTGTATAGCTCATACATTATACAATTTTTATTACTTTTAGGGTTTAGAGTGGCTAGTTTCATTATTTAACAACAATCTTAATGGTATACTAGCAGATGAAATGGGTCTTGGTAAAACAATTCAAACGATAGCTTTGGTAACTTATCTTATGGAGAAGAAAAAAGTTAATGGACCATTTCTCATAATTGTACCATTATCGTATGTATAACTTTAAACAAATATTTCAAAAGCAAGAAAAAAAATAAAGGAAGTACAGAAAAATGATGGAAAATTTTATTCTTAATATTTAATTCTAATATTAAACATTTTCTTTTAGAACTTTATCAAATTGGGTATTAGAATTTGAAAAATGGGCTCCCAGTGTTGTTGTAGTATCATATAAAGGTTCACCAGCTGGTAGAAGAGCTATTCAGTCTCAAATGAGAGCTACTAAGTTCAATGTTTTGCTTACTACTTATGAATATGTTATTAAAGACAAGGGTGTTTTAGCAAAATTACAGTGGAAGTACATGATTATTGACGAAGGTCATAGAATGAAAAACCATCATTGTAAGCTAACTCAAGTGTTAAATACACATTATTTGGCTCCTCATCGACTCTTACTGACAGGAACGCCATTGCAAAATAAATTGCCTGAATTATGGGCATTATTAAATTTCCTGCTTCCTTCAATCTTCAAATCTTGTAGTACTTTTGAACAATGGTTCAATGCTCCATTCGCAACTACTGGCGAAAAAGTCGAACTAAACGAAGAAGAAACTATTCTTATTATTCGTCGATTACATAAAGTGTTGCGTCCTTTCTTACTAAGACGTTTGAAGAAGGAAGTTGAGTCACAGTTACCTGACAAAGTAGAATACATTATCAAATGTGATATGTCTGGATTGCAAAAAGTTCTTTATAAGCACATGCAAAGCAAAGGTGTATTATTAACTGATGGTTCAGAAAAAGGAAAACAGGGTAAAGGAGGTGCCAAAGCTTTGATGAACACCATTGTGCAGTTGAGAAAATTATGTAATCACCCATTCATGTTTCAAGCTATTGAAGAAAAATATTGTGAGCACGTAGGTACACAAGGATCCGGTGTCATTACGGGTCCTGATTTATACCGTGCATCCGGAAAATTTGAACTGTTAGATCGTATTCTTCCAAAATTGAAAGCAACAAATCACAGAGTATTATTATTCTGTCAGATGACACAATTAATGACGATTATGGAAGATTATTTAAGCTGGAGAGGATTTATGTATTTGCGTTTGGATGGTACTACAAAAGCTGAAGATAGAGGAGACTTACTAAAGAAATTCAATGATCCTGGTTCCGAATATTTCTTATTTTTGTTGTCAACGCGAGCTGGTGGTCTTGGATTAAATTTGCAAGCTGCGGATACTGTCATTATTTTTGATTCTGATTGGAATCCACATCAGGACTTACAAGCACAAGATAGAGCACATAGAATTGGGCAAAAAAATGAAGTACGCGTACTAAGATTGATGACAGTTAATTCGGTTGAAGAAAGAATATTAGCTGCAGCTCGATATAAGTTAAATATGGATGAAAAAGTTATACAAGAAGGAATGTTCGATCAGAAATCAACTGGCTCTGAGCGACAACAATTTCTACAAAGCATTTTACACCAAGATGATGCTGAAGATGAAGAAGAAAATGAAGTACCAGATGATGAAACAGTTAATCAAATGATTGCACGAACAGAGGGTGAATTTGAAATATTCCAAAAATTGGATTTAGAGCGAAGAAGGGAGGAAGCTAAACTGGGTCCAAATAGAAAGTCGCGATTATTAGAAGAAGCTGAATTGCCCGATTGGTTAGTGAAAGATGATGATGAAGTTGAACGATGGACGTACGAAGAAGATGAAGATAGATTTCTTGGACGGGGCTCGAGACAACGAAAAGAAGTTGATTATAGTGATAGTTTGACTGAAAAGGAATGGCTCAAAGCAATCGATGATGATGGTGCTGAATATGAAGAGGAAGAGGAAGATGATAAAAAGAAGAAGAAAACTCGAAAGCGAAAGAAAAAAGGTGAGGAAGATGACGAGCCTATGCCAAAGAAACGAAGAGGTACAGGATCTGCAATTGATCCAAAAATGAAACGAGCTATGAAAAAGTTGCTTATGGTAGTCGTTAACTATACTGATAGCACAGACGGCAGACTTCTTAGTGAACCGTTCATGAAATTACCATCCAGAAGAGAATTACCAGATTATTATGAAATTATTAAAAAACCATTAACTATCAACAAATTACTTCAAAAAATTGAAGAAGGAAAGGTAAATATAAATTATTTTTATGTATATTCTTTATTTCATGATTATTTTAACTGTTTATTTTTTTAATTACGAAGTTTATTTTATACATACTGTCGTAGTATGCTGATTTTGACGATCTTGAGAAAGATTTCATGCAGCTCTGTAAAAACGCACAAATTTATAACGAAGAAGCTTCTTTAATACATGAAGATTCTATTGTTCTACAATCAGTTTTCACGAATGCACGTCAACGTATTGAAGAAGAAGGCAATAATTCTGATATGGATGATAAAGGTATTTATAATTATTGTAATTTGATAAAATGAAATAAAATAATGTCAAAGATTTTATATACATGAAATTTTTAATAGGTGAAGGTGAAGAAGGATCAGATGCAGATTCAAGTGTCAGAATGAAAATTAAATTGAAAGGAAGAAAGGGTGAAGGTAGAGGAGGTCGAAGAAAAAGGGTCACTAAAAAATATATATCAGATGATGATGATGATGCTGATGATAACTGAAAATTGTATCTGAATTTTTAGATTACTTAAGATAATAGATAAAATATCATTTAATTTAGCTATTTCAAATTAAATTACTATCCTTATATGCAATTGTTATTACGTAGTTAAATTGTGTGAGTTTTGTAAGAATGTGACTAATTATTATAACTTGGTTATAGTATAAAAATACTATTGATTAGTCAAGTTATAAATTTAAAATGTCACTGTTGAAAATTACATTTTGACATCTATATTAAATTGAATTCTGATATAAACAAGCATGGATTAAGATAGGTAATAAATCATTTTTTATTTGAAAAAATATACATGCAATTTGTACAATATACAGTAATATTTAGCATTAAGTATTAATACATAATTTTCTTTGAATTCTGAAGTAAACTATATTAAAATCAAATACATTTCTTCCATCGATACATTTTATATTCATAAATAAAATTAATGTAAATGTTACGTAGCATTTGGAAATACATCAAACATCAATAATAAAATTCGAATATAATTATAAAATAATGTTGACTTATAAAAGAATTATTTAATATTATTCGATACTCAACATTATTACTGACCTTATTATTGACTAACATTTTGACTAATAATCATATAAATAAATAATTTAAACAATTTTGCTATTGAACATTCAACATATTTCAATATCTTTCAATGTACTTTAAAGTAAATTAGAAACATAATAATTTTATTTCTCCGCATTTAAATATAAATTATCCATACTGTAGTTATCTATTACTTAACTAATATTAAACTAAAATTACATTAATAATTGTGAAGAATGAAGAATGATAGAATACTACGATGTTACATATGGTGGTAAGCTGTTTTATTTTCCACTACACTATGATTTAATCTTTTATATATATATATAATGAAGAACTTATATACAACTATATATAAACTCAAGAAAATGAGTCACAGAATTTTTAATTAAATGTAGTTAATATATATATTGTTTAACACATTATTTTATACTATTGAACAATTATATTATTTAAAAATATCTGTCTTATATGATGATTTTATATCTTGTAATCAATATCTTAAATTTATTAATATGCTACTTTCGACCTTCTATACATTGTAATTTTCAAATTTTTTACTAGGATCTATATATTTCTTACATTGCAAATTTGTTATCTTTTATTTGAAATATTTTATTATAAACCTTTACCTTTTATCTCTCGTTTTAAAGAAAATTAATAATTGATGATTAACCCTTTGTCATCCGTACCTGGATCTATTATGACCCACGTCGCCAAGAGCCTCGTCGAACTACTTGACTCGTGATGAATGATTTAAGATAGTAGCTATTTATATTAGGGGCGATAGACAATCCTCGTGTTTCGAAATGCATTTTTTGATCAATTCTTAGTACTCTCCCAACGCGACGAGGTCGGTTACTGTGGGGGTTTTAATAAGTACAAATCTCACATAACCCCATTCCCCTCTGAGGGGAACGGGGTATCCTTTGAAACATTTTCCTCACGAAAAAAAAAAAGAGAAAAGGGTTGTTCATATCTCATGGATGAGTTTGTTCTTAAGTACCGATTCAATACAAGGGTCTATCAGCCTTAGTCATCCTATGTACCAGGGCGTACAGGACCGAGTGATGGTCTTGTAATCGTAGATACTGCATGTCGGTCTGCCGTTAGATCCCAGAGACGATTCCTTAATTGGTTTCTACCCTATAGGGTGGAGGACGACGCACAGTACACCGGCTCGCCAAAAACACGAACGTAATTAATAGCTTTATTATTTAAACGTCTTTGTTGTAAAATATATCGTTTCATAGGTTTTTAGGGTTGTAGAATCTGATTCTGATATTATTTGTTTTAGTAAAATAAAGGATTATGAAACTTTTTATGGGTTTTACCATTAAAATTTATATTATTAAAATATTAATTTGTGCTACTTTATATGTGTTTATAAATGATTTTAAACGGCATAATAAAATTATAAAATAAATTCAAAAAAGTTTATTATTATATATATTATTCAATTCTGCCATAGTCGTAAAACTTTATCTTTTCCACCTGACACAACATGCAATCCATTTGGAGACCAATCTACTGCATAAATTTCATCTGCATGGCCAGGTAAATCCAGGTAAAGTTTCTTTGTTTTTAAACTCCATACTGAAACAAAGTTGTACAACAATTTTATTAAAACATTGTTTCTTTATTTTTAAAAGTCTAATTAAGCCTTTCATAAAAAACCAAATCATTAACATATTTCAAATATATAAGACTCTTTATCAAATAAAGTTTTTATCTGTATTTCAAACTACTTATTTTTTATTTAAAAAACTACATTAACATACATTTGATAGCATTTATGATTTTAATTGATCATTTATATAATTTACTTACCTTTTAAAGTAGAATCTGCACTACCACTAACAAGTAAACGGGAATCTGCACTCCACGATACTGAGTATACAGCTTGTACATGACCTCTTAATGAAGTTATATACCTTCCTGTACTTGATTCCCATAGTTTTATAGATTTGTCAAATGAAGCAGATGCAATTATGCGACCATCCGGTGAGAATTTAACATCATTAACCAGGTGTTGGTGTCCTGTCATTCTTGCTGAAATGTAAAGTAGGAAAATTAATATTTCTACTTCAAAATAATTGTTGTACTTTTATAACAGTGAATAATACCAATAAATTTCTTTTCTTTTTCTGGTTTCCAGAGATATAATGTAAAATCATCAGACCCAGAAACAAGTACTTCTTCACCTATAGATTTATAGCACTTTTTTGCATATATTACAGGATTTTCAGATTTTTTTTCATTCTTTCCAAAATGAAAAGGGCCAATCCTAAGTACATAGTCCACATTCAATGCTAATGTATTTACCCAATGTGCATGGCCTTCTAAAGTTCTGCATAAAATTCCCTAAATATATTCAATCGATTTTAATCAAATACTTGGTAATATAGTTTAAAATATTTTTGTAAGGCTTACATCTTCTGCTCTCCACACTTTAATAGTTCTATCTTGTGAACCAGAATAAATAAGGTTATTTCCACCCCACTTAACACATGTTACACTTCTTGTGTGACCAGAAAGAGTACGAACAGTTTGTGAACGTATTGTATCCCATATCCTTAAATCGCAATCCTTTGATGCACTAACTATATACTGACATTCTGGATTTTTGTGATATGGCTCCCAAGATAAAGAAGTGATCCACATTTTGTGTCCTAACATTGCTCTTCCTAACAATTCACAAAGGTTATATATAAATTATATTACTCGTTAATATATTCAATGAATCTATCATGATCTTTACCTATCTGTTTCCCTGTTTCTGGATTCCATAATAAAATTGTACCATTTTTACATGCAGATGCAAGCTTAGTTTCACATGGTGACCATGATATACATAATACCCAATGTTTATGACCTTCACATGTATAATATGGAGTTTGTGTATATATATCCCAAAATCTAACTGTTGTATCTCCAGAACCACTAGCTAAATATGTTCCATTTGGAGAAAATGCAGCTGTTATTACAGCCTCCTTATGACCTGTGTACAATAAGTATTTTTATTTTACATAATGTTTAAAATTACTGTCATGTAATATTATATTGCTCTATATGAAATACAAACCTTCCAATGATCCAGTACATCGTGTAATAGCTTTAACTTTAAAAATTGCTTGTGGTTGATATATAATTTCAATTATATCTTCACTAATACTATAAGTTTCTTTAATACTATTTTCCAAATTATTTGTGATTTCAACATTATTTATATAAAAAGCAATGGGTATTGGTTCTTCATTTTGTAGAAGTGCATTACATATTATTTGTAATTTATCAACAGTAATATTTATAGGTAAATCTAATAAACCTCCTGGTAATGTTTCACCCTTATCTGATTTAAAACGTGATAAAATTCGTTTAATCTCGGTTGTTTCTTTTGCAGAATTTTCATTGTTTTGCATGTTTTTCCTTTCTTCCTCAAATTTTCTTTTATTCATATTTAAGTAATATTAGACAATTTTTCTAAAACAATTTAAAAATATTTATAAATCAAGTTTGTATTTATAAAAACAGGAAATATAATATTTCTTAATATTATTTTATAATTTCTTTTAAAAAATATGTATTTAATATGAAATATTAGCTTCAATACTTCATATATTATATGTGAATTATATAAATCGAAATAATTAAATATTTTAATTGTTTTAGATATTAGTAAAATTATTATAAAATATGTATAAAAAATTAAAAAATTTTTAAGTAATTAACATTATACGTTAAATTTCTACATTAAAAGATCAATCATCTATATAATATTAAAAACATAACCCTCATGAACTAAACCCATAAACTATGATTCAATGAATGCAACTCATTTATAGCTATAGATGAAATAAAAGTTATTTAATTAAATTTTGAATAAAATTTGATGAAATAAAAGTTATTTAATTAAATTTTGATTAAAATTTCTAATTCGATTTTCTAATTCATTGCGAATTATTTGAGGCAATAAAAATATTCAAAGTATTAAAACATTTCTTTTCACAAATATCTTTTAGAAATAATTATCATTTACATATTTATATTAATTTTTTCAAATATTTATTAATAATAATTATCTTCCTTTTTTGCAAAATGCAATTTGTAATAAACACGTTAATAACTAAATAAAAAATATAATAAATAAGATTTTACTGATAAAAAATTAGTTTTGCAACTATAATTTAAGAAAAATTATTATTTCCAAAAACAGATAATTCCATTTTCATAAAAATTATAATTTGAAACATTAAAATTACGTTTCCAATTATCTGTAAATCATAAATTTCTTTATGAAATTTGAAAGGTAGAGTTATACTTCTTACTTAATTGTTGCTCATGGACGAAAAAACATGTTGACAACTATGATGATAAAATGGCGAGTTAGCATGTTGATAGTTATCTTAAGATTATTTTTAAACTGAGTGTAGGAAGATTTTTTTAATTTAATGTACCAATAATCTATTTATGTTATTTGGTTTCCTCATTCAAGTGCCATGAATTCGTTTGATTCAACGATTGAATCTGTTCAAAGCATTTCTAAGCTTTTTAATGAAGACTGCAATTGTACTGCTATTGATAAAACTACCGGAGAATTTTGTGGTGAGACTGAAACTTTAAAAATTATTGATGAATTTCAAAAATTATATGAAACTCGGATTGAAAATGTTGACCGACAGCTTGAAAATGAATTTGATCAAGTTTGTGTAAGTTCTTTTATAATATAATATTAACTTTATTTATTTATATAAATGTAATCACTCTATATTTTCCTTGTTCGTTTAGTTCCAGTTTTAATTTGACTCAGTAGTATTGTGTATTATTGTTATTACATACTTTATTATTTATGTTTACATTTTTATAAAATTTTATCTTGGAGCAAAAAATTTTGTTTTAGTTTATTTGTATAAAAAAAGAGATAATAACAATTTAATAATCTATATTTTCATTGTTAATTAATTCAAATATAAATTATGTTTCTAATTTGTTTTAAGTACTTTCTGGTCATTCCTAGATTTATTCTAATAATTAAAAAGTTAAATTGTATTATATATAATATTAATAAAATAATTAAAATTTATTATGTTTAAAATATTGCACTTCTTATTTTAAAGATGTCAGAAATCTATAATTATATAAAAATTATATTGTATATGTTATAATGTATAATATAACAAATGAATGTATATTAATTATTAATATAAATTGTGTCCTAATACTTTATCTACTATTGACAATTAATATTTGAACTCATAGATGAAACTTGAAATTTCAAAAGAATGGATCAAAAATTTGAAAGAACAAAATGTTATGTTAGTGCAAGTAGTAGAGGATTTAGAACAAGCTGCTTGTAGTAGAGTTAAATTATTAGAACAGAAATTGAAACATTCATCAGTGTTAGTTTCTGAAAATATGACAAAGTCAATGATTACAGAGAAGGTATGTTTAGAATTTTTTTTTAAATTATAAGGTAAAGTAGTATCAGTTTAGTATAGCTAATAATTGTTATTATTATAGGCTATAAATACACTTTCAAATCGTGTAAGTGACCTAGAGAGAGATGAAAAATTTATGCAACGAAAAATAGAGTTTCTTCAAAGTGATATCAGAGGATTATTAGAATTGATAAGACGTGCAGTACAAGACAATCATTGGAATTTAGATGATATCAAATTTTTTGAAATTGAACCTAGTGATATACCTATTCCTGTGAAGTAAGTTTTCCTAATTAAATAGTTCGTTATTGAAAATACAAGTAAAACATAATTAAAAGTATCATTTTTCTTTCTTCCTTACAATTATATTGTACAATTTATTGTATTCTTTATTTCTAATATTTCTAAATTCTTTATTAATTATGTTTAAAATATATAATTCTATGTTTTCTTATTTAAAAGAAGTAATATAATTTCTTTTATATATTTGCAGTTGTACCTGTGATCAGGTAAATATAAACATAGATGCTGATAAAAGATTCAAACTTAGAATACAAATTAGTCATGATTTTATGAATAAATCAGGTTATCCATTAGGTGGAAATATTTGCATGATACATCCTTCCCATTCAACATCTCTTTAATTAAGTTTTTACTTTTTGCTATATACATACATACATAATTAGTAAATATAGTTTATTTTATATTTTAATTTCCTACACTCCTTTAAATAAATTCTTTGTCAAATATACTATATAATTTTTATATGAAATAAATGGTGGGTATGTAACATAATTATCTACAAATTGTTGTTTTTCTTATATTAAAATTTTCTATGATATGTACCATTAATTAATGGTATTTTGAAATTAATTTTATGATTTTAAAATTAGGGAGATATAAGCCACAAAAATGTGCAGTCTTTAAAACTGCAAATTGAACATCTTCAGGAAAATGAAAAGAAAATGATTGCGTAAGTAAAATTTGAATGCAATTTTAAATAATGATTACTTGTACATTTAGTACCATATATATCATACTTAATAATAAATTTCTTATTTTTCTAGACATCAGAAAGAGTTAGAAGATAAATTACTTGATCTTAATACAAAATTACAAACAAAAGAAGATACCATTAAATTATATGTTTCCCAGTTTCAAAGTCTTAGTGATAATCTTAGAAAACAAGTTAAATTTACAGATCAAATGGCATGCAGTTCATTTGTAACAAATGATGAAGAAACTTTTGATGTAAGTTAAACTAAATAATACTTCTAAATTTAAATGTTAAGTACGTATGTATATATGTACAGGCATAATTTTTTTTTCTAATAAAGTAGAATCATTGAAAATTAAACATATTGAATAATGAATAATAAGGCAATCATGTTGAAATATTTTCAACTGTATGTAGTTTCTTTAAAACTTTTGTTGCTATCCAGATTATGTTAATGGCTGATATTGTGGAAAATCTATTCATTGAAAAAGATCTAGAAACAAAAAGCTTACAAAAACGTTTGCGTGACGCGGAATCTAATTTGGCGATAGCAATTCATGATAGCGACATAAGTTTAAATAATATACAAATTCAGTTGAGTGAAAAATACAAGGCAGTCCAAGAAATAGAACAACGGATGACTAATTTACAAAAAGTTTGTCATTTATTTTAATATATATTTTATTTTTTAATGTTAATTTAGGTATGACTGTATTTGTGTCAATTATTAGGAATCAATACAGAAGCAAAATGTTTTAACAGTCGAAGTGATGGAAAAAAATGAAATATTAATGTCTTTACAAAAACAAATGACTATATTGCAAGAGCAATATCGTTTTGCAAATATGCAAATTTATTTTAAAGAGAGTATTATTAAAGAAATGCGAAAAGAACTAAAACGAACAATAGCTAAGGTATAAATAGTAATTCCTACATTTGTACATTGATAACAATGATACTTTTTATTTTCAGTGTTTATACTCTAACTTCTTTCCTCGTGCTAATAATCGTTATGACAAAGTTACTATTAATAGGCAAGAGATGGAACTTTTTTGTAAATTATGTAAGAAAATTATTGTACCAAAAATAATGTATACTTTTCCAGAGCATAAAAATATTTCATTTTTGCAAACTTACAATGAAAGTATTTCACACTATAATAAACTAACAAAAAGCATACCTACAATGGAAACAAACTATAATAATTTAACAACAAAATTATTAAATTCTCATGATAACACAAAGTATAATAAAATTGGCATGTATACAAATTTTCATAATATTGATAAAAAGATTTTGAAATATAGCAAAAAGTTGCCACATTTTAATACACACAAACAATCTTTAAACAATAAACAAACTCTTATTTGTGAAAAATCTGAAAACTAATAAATATTTTTCAATTCATATAATAATTGAAATGTTAAATCATTATTTTAATATTTAACTTAATAATGTAATAAATCATATAATAATGTATTATATGTTATAGATAAAATTGCGACGTTTAATATTATATTTCAATATGATTGCCTTCTATTTCAATGTGAATATATTATTTGCTTTGTTTTAATATTTACGTTAATATAATCATTAATATTTCAATATCAAGATTAAGATATTTTTCATTCATATTTTTAACTCTGATTACAGAGAACATAATATAAAAAATTGTTCATGTTGATGAACATAACATATTAAAAGGTAAAAAATAAATACATACGTACTTAAAATATTTGTTTGTAATTCTCATTTTTTCTGTTTTATATATTTAAAAAAGAAATAATGATATAGTAATAATATTTTAAAAAATAATACTTCAAAAACTAAGATGTAATTGATGTCTAAAAAGATGATTTTTATCTTTTCCTAGGATGTTATAAAGTCAAGGAATCCTGTAAATCAACAGGTAATATAAATATAAATATTTTTGAAACTTTAATGTTACAAAATTTATTTTCAAATAATATTTATTGTTTTAAATGCATTCTGATTTTTAGAATCAAATTGTATTATATCTGAATAAGGTAAAATCATTGATGGAACAAGAAAAGGAAGATCTTTCTAAATTAAAAATAGAATTGGAAAAAACTGTAGAAGAATTATGCTGTGAGAGAAATGAAGTTGGTAACTTTAATATAACTTATATTTTAATTAAATCTGAAATTCAAATATATTTATATGTATTTTAATAAATTATTAAATAGCAAAATACTGAACAAAATAATTTTATAATTAAGCAATATAAAAAAAAGCTTGTTATTATTACTTAAAATATTTCTTCAATATCTTATTGAAAAATATTTTTACTTTGCATTTAATATATTCTAGTTAAAACTTTTATCAATAAACATTTTTCAGTTGTCTGTAATATCTCAAAGAAATCCTACGAAGAATAATTGAATGTAATAAGGAATTCTAGTATTTGTAGAAACAAAATATTTAATTAATTTTAATGATATATACATACAATACATTCTTTTAATTGTAACAAAATGTAAAAAAATAAAAATTTTATATTATTATTGTATATATACTTATAATTGAAAAATGTTTACTAATATTAATATTAATACTATGATATTAATACTATTTTGGAATAGTTATGTTAATAACTATGAAATAGTTATGTTGAATTTTTAACAGGAATATAATACAATTGAGAATAAATGTTCTATGGATAACATAAAGTACAAACTAACTAAAAATATTGAATATGTAAACAAAATATATTCAAGGAAGGAGGAACTAATTGGAATAATTAATTCTTTAGTATGTATATTTTTTTTCAATTGTTCATTTTATAAAGAAACAATGCATTATTTATAACATTGTAACTTGTATTGCCCTAGTTTCAAATGGAAAACAATAATTTTTTTCATATAGAAAGTTTTAATTTGTTAGTAAGTATTATGTTAATAATATTTAAACTATACTTCAGATAAAGATATTAATGAATAAGTGTCAGATTAAGTAAATAAAAAATATACTTTTATTATAAATTGTAATATAAATTACAAACTTAACTATTTATTATAGCCATACACAGATATTAATCAATTTAAGTTAATGGATGTGTTTAGAGCATGTGCTATTGAAGCACAAGTTACTATGGAAGATATCAAAGATGAAATAAATCTAATTGTTTCTTCATTCAAATGTAGACATCAAAAGGTAAGCTTTGCATTAAATTTACTGTGACTAGATATTACTAGAGGTATTACTAGTACAGTTTTTCATTAATTATTTAATTTTTGTAGTATGTTGATTTAAATAAAGAAGTCGTAAATATGCAAAATCAATTAATAAAATGTCGTGGAAAAATAGCAGAAGTACTTAATAAATTGCAGTTACAAGTAAGAATTGTTAAATTTGAATATTTTAAATGTTATTGTCTCAAAAGTAATTCAAATCTTTTCTTTATTATAGGAAGGAGAGAGAATAAGACACAATAATAGAATAACTTTAGGAAAGAATAAATTAAAAGATATTAAAAATGAAATAAATCTTACTGAATCTCACTTATTAATCCATGTTAATATACAGAATAAATTTGTTATTTACATTTTATTAATTAAAGCATAATATTATTATAATTTTATAATTATTTAAAAATTTTAGGAAACTACACCTAACCATGGAGATGTATGTATTTATAATGACTTATTATGTTCAGTGATTGAAGAGATAGAACAAACATCATCTAATCTACAAATATTTCAAAATCAAGTAAGCTTTTGAAATTTCTCATTAAATAAAATGTTTAAAAAACTACAATATTCATAATAAATAAATAATATTTAAATAATTTAAGGAATGTTCCATAGTAAAAGATCTGGAAAAATTGAAGAATCAATTTCATGAGATAGATTCCTCTACAAAGAAATTACAAGATAAAATAGATGATGCGGTTAATATATTTATATCATAAATATGATTAATTACCATTTTTTAATTTCAATTTTATTAAATCCATTATCTGATTTAAACTTCATAATTTATAGATGTCAGAACATGATACAGTAGAAATAACACTTTCACAGAAAGAACAAAAATTACAAAAACTAGAAGAAAAAATTAATGTAATTCATTTAAAAGTACAAAACATGTTTGAATCATCTTATTCTCCAAAGGAGGAACATGTATGTATCTATTATTTATATTATGATTAAGGTTTTGTATAATTTTGTTTTAATTATGTGACAGATATCTGAATGTAATATTATGGAGACTCAGTTATATACACAAGTAATATTTTATCTTATTTAATAAATTGATGTTACTGTTTTTATATTTCTTTCTGATTATTTTAATGCAAATATTTATTTTAGGTTTTGAATGAAATACTGCAAATTAAACAAGCTGTACATGAATTAAAGAAAGAACATGATAATTTAAAGTATAATATATCACAAGTGCGGAATTTATAAATTATCTTAACAACATATATTATAAGTAAATCTTTTTATTTATAATAAATATTTTACAGAAATCACTCTATTCAGAATGCAATGAGAAAACGTGTTTATGGAAATGTAGAATTACTGATTTACATGATCAAGTTAAAATACTGCAACATGAGGTAATTCACATCTAATTTATATTTTTTAATATAATACAATAATTATAATAACTTAATAATAATTATTTAAATAAATTATAATACCGTTATTTATATAAAGCAATAGTATATTTATATGATGTACTATTATTTATATAATTTTAATAAAAAAATTTTAATTTACTACTTTAACATTTTTATATTTGTTTTCATATTTAATCTTTCGTAGGCTAAGTGCAATGAAGAGGCAAACAATTTTTTAAGAAATAACATTCAGTCAATAGAAGAGGAACTCCACATAGCTAAAACAAAAGCAGATAATTATAAACGATCTCATTCAAGAGACAACATGGAATTGAAGAAAAAGACGATAGAATTAGAAAATAATGTAAATATAATTTATTCAATATATATATATAATATATAATAAGATTATCATATAACATTACTTAAATAAAATGTATTGACTAAAATTTTAGCTTAAACTTCAAAAAGAAATTGAATGCACTTTGCGACAACAATTGAATGATAGTGAAGTTGAATTAAAAAAATCTAAAGAATTATTAAATTCTGCTGTAAGTTGATTTCTTATGAAAATCATTTTATTTTATTTATATTTTTTCATGTACTGTTATTAAAAATATAATTTGAAATTATAATATATGCAATGTAATTTACACTTTTTTATTTCTTTTACATTTAATAAAAGCATAATGAACATAATATGGAAGATACATTGTTACAGTGTTGCTGTTCTCAATTTAGACATGATATAATGGTAAATGTTATTAATTCTTCATAAAATTATTAAATTAATAATAATAAATTGATTTATATTTATAGACTACACCTCAGTTATTTAAAAAGCTACAGGGTACGATAAAGTCTACAAAAGTTGGCCTTCAGGAACTTAAAGCAGAATTAAAAAAATTGGTTTGTGCAAAATTATTTATGTTATTTAATTATGTATTTATAGTGAATGTAAATAATAATTAAACATAATAATATACATTGAAACTCTAAATAATACTTATTTCAAAGTATTTTTTATAGATTTGTGAGGATTCGTCTAATTTTTGTCATTCTACAAGATCATTGATGAATTTACTAGACAAATTGCAAAAATATGAAAGTGAATTAGATAATTGTTCCCAAGAAATTGAAGAGCTTAGAAATGCGTTGTATTCTAAAGATAAACTTGTAAGTACTATTCATTCATTTGTATCCTCTTTTATAACTTTTAGATCTTTTATGACATTAAGTTTAAATAAAAGTATAAACAATACCTAAACCATGTTTACAGATAGAAAATATGGATGAAATTATCAAAATTCAAAAAGATTCCATTGTAATGACACAATCTGAATTAAAAGAACTTCACCAAAAGTTTCAAGAAAAGGTATGTTAACATTAGCTGTTTTGTTTCAAATGAAAATTATTTTGCAATATTTAAAAAGAATGATTACATATGGTATTCAAAATTATGGAAGAAAAGCAGATATTTATTTACAAACTATATGTACTTAAAATTTGTGAAACAACTTCTAATACATGCTATTTTAAAATTGAATTCACAAAATCAATTTTATTTATAATCAAATTGTATTTTTTTAGTTTGAAATATATGAAATTATATAATCAAATTTTTGAACATTCAAATAATATGTACAAAAAGCTATATATAATAATTATAATCCTTATATCTCGAAAGTGGAATTTTAGATCTCAAAATGATAGAGAGTATCGTGATTTATTATTTATCATATTATGAAAAATCATTATATGTTTTAAATTCTCCCATAATTTTGTCATTTCTAGAATTGATATTTAAAATTAGAATTTAACAATAAAAATATGTTTAGATTATTTATTTAGTTCTTAAGTTACATAATTTGTTCAGATTTTTTATTGTTTCATTGATTCTTTATACTTGAAATTGTTTTATATGTCATATATACTAAATTTACAATTGAACATCAACATCAAAACGTTTGTACATTTACATAAGTTATTTTATTGAAAATGTGATAATTAAACAAAAAGTTTTATCAAGATTTATTATTAAAGGTATGTCAATTATAATTATCAAAATTTTAATACAATATCTAATGTACATATTTTTAGATTGATAATCAAGATCAAATAATCTCTAAATATGAGAAAGAGAAGAAAGAATTATTAAAACAGGTTTGTATTTACTTTGTAATATTAGTGAATATTATAAAAGAAATTATTATTTTTATTTATTAACCTTATTTTAAAACACAACTATCTCATTTCTTATAATTTTATATTATGTCAAATTAAAGTTTCTTTGAATATAACATACGTAAATTATAATTTATATAAATACTTGTTTTTTTTTTGTATAAACACTATGTAAAGACTTGTTTTAAAATATTGTTTTTTTAGAATGATCTTCAGATTCAAACTATTGGACACTTACAAAATGCTGTAGTGGAAGCTAAAAAATGTATAGATCAAATTGGACATAGAACCGTGAGTGATATGAGTGAACAGTGGCCTACAATTTCGTCTACAGTGTATAGTCAAAGGAATGTGCATGATGTTTAAATATTAACTTAAAATATATAAATATGTGCAAGTAGCATATAATTTATTTGTATAAAATAAGCATTCAGTGTAGTTTTATCAGAAAATAGTATAGCAACCTATAGTACAATTTTAAAGTTTTAAACATATAAATAATTATAAAATAATTGAAATTGAATTCTTTATAGTTCTCTATATTATATTTTGTATTCTAAATATTATACATGTTTTTAGACTTAAAATAGTTATACATTATTTTTAATATTTTAATTTCTGCAAACTTTTGTAGTATTTGAGCTTAAAATATTGCATTAACACGTTGAGCGCGGCATCAGTTTGTAGGGACTGATAGTGAACTTTCCGTTTAGGTGGTATTAGTTTGTGAGGACTGACAGTATACTTCTTGTTTGATTAAAGTGGGATCGGCTGTATTAAGATTTAAAAAATTATTTTTATAATGTATTTAAAGAAAAGTTCAAAAGTTAATTTTTTGTACCATTGTACTGTCTTTTTCAACGGGTATTGGTTGCATCATTCTTATAGTCCAAACGGATAGATCGCCGTTGTGTGTCGCGTTCAACGTGTTAAGCAGAACATCAAATTTTATAAATTATATATCCATCTAGTATATTTATTAATATTTAAAGCTTTACTTTTGTAAATATTGTTGATAATTGTTAAAAGTATTTGTTAAAATTCTATTTCATCGTTTTTAAAGTAAATATAAATATATTTCTATATACAAGAAATTACTCATTTATAGTAACAATATTTTATTACTTATTAGTAAAATTTATTATGGTATCTATTGTCATAATAAACGATTAAACAAATAACATGCATGTATTTTGTTCCATATTTTGATCATACCAATAATTACTAATATTAACTAATATTTCTCGTTTATTTTTAAATACAGTATGTAGAAATTGTTTGATTTAATAACGAAATATGATACGTGAAAGCTACCTTTATGTTTAGTGGTGCTATTAATATAAAATTATTGCACATTTTAAAGCATATTTGTAAAAAAACAATCAATCTGACTTACAGTTTGAAGAAAAAATTGAACCTATTCGTCTACTGGCGATGTATGCGGAAGAAACTCAATGTCAATATAATGAATGTTTTGCAGAGGTCTAGTAAACATCTTTTTAATAATGATTAATTTTATAAATATATTGAGGGTATCAATTATTGCGTATAAAATAAAATATTAATAATAACAGTAATGACATATTTCTTTTACATAGGCAGCTAAACAGGGCGAATTGTTAGAATTACAACGAGATGCAATTCACGATCTTCAACAAAAAATAAGTTATATGGAATACAATAATCGATTAGCTATTACCTTCGTTCATATTACGTATTATTCAATTTTAAAAACAATACAGGTAGAAGAATTTGAAATATTGTTGTAAATAATCATATTAAACTGTTTTACATGTACATTTTGATAATAAAAATGATATATTTTTTATCATTAGAGTTTTATTGCATTTTGATATTTTTGTATAGATATTAAAATAAATATAAGTTACTAGTAATTATGTTAAATATTGAAAATTATGAAATTTATTGATTGTATTAATAATTAAAAATCTTTTAGGAACAATTGGAAACTCGTGTAAATGATATTCAAATTCTAAAGAATGAGGTATAAAAAGCATTATAAAAAAATAAAGAAATATATATTTTTTCAGATATATATTCCACAAAATGTATTAACTTCTTTTTAGATGGACAGTTTGATGCAATCGAAATGCTATTTGGAAAGTAAATATTTAAATACAAAAAGATTATGGCAAGAAGCTGAAAGAAAATTACAAGAACTGAGGTAATTTTTCAATGTAAACTTTATTATTGTATATATACAATATATTTAAAAATACTTGTAATTGATTTAGGCAGGAAATATCGAAGACTGAAAACAAAATAAAAATTGATGAAGATAAAAACCATCAATATAAGATAGAAAGTACATTTAAAGATACGGTTAAAAATACAAATTATTCCACCCAAGATGTATGTGATTGCAATGGTCTAATATTTAACAATAGGGAACAATGTAAAAATATATCACATGAGCATGATTTACAATCAGAAATTGAAATCTTAATTAGAGAAAATGAAGATATGAAAAGACAACTACAAAAGTATAAATTGGATTTTGATATAATTGACAAAGAACTGAAAACAGAAAGAGAAAATGATACTTATGTTCAACAAATTTCATTTGAATTACAAAAATTACGAGATTCAGAATGTTGTTTACAATATGAAAATGAACTGCTTAAATCTGATTTAAAAAAACAGGCAAAAATAGTAGAAGATTTATTGGAGAAACTACAGTTTGCTCAAGAAAATAACAAAAAATTTGAAAAATTGATAAAGAAATTAGAGGATAAACAGATACAGGTACATTTCAATAAAATAATTTCAATAATTATAATCTGAAATTATAATTAATTAAGTGTTAAATTACAAAGATATTTTATTTCATTATGCAGATTAATGATTCATATAGTCAGATTGCAAATAATGAAATTATTATGAAAAAACAAACAGAAATTATAGAAGAATTTGAAAAGAAATTAGATATAAAAAATCAACAGATTAAAGCATATTTATCTGAATTAAATGTAGCAGAAGAGGAAATGTCAACTTTGCATGAAAGAATAAAATCTTTGAAAACAATGTTAAAAGAAAAATCAGATAATATGGCTAAACTGCAAGCAGATTATGAAGTGATAAAGGTATATGTTGTAATGTTAAATATCTTGCTACTTGATTTTCATATTTTAAACAAATTCTTATGAAATAAATTAACTTTTTAAAATGTGAAATAAATTTTTTTAGTTGAAAGATCTTCAAATGCAGTTATGCTTCACTAAAAATAATTATTTTAGAGTCACAGAAGATTTTAATAAAGCGCAAGAACAATTAATCAAGATAACAAAACGGGAAGCTGATTTACAAGAATGTTTAACAAATATGGTACCTATTTTAAAATATTTAACTAAAAATTATCCTAATCTTTATTTAATAATTTCAGGAAAGAGATTATTGTTTAAAACTATCAAGTATTGAGGAAGAGAAAACTATGCTTCGAAATTACTTAGATAAATTCAGAGATGAATTGGAAGAAATTAAAAGAAACTATTCAATAAAGAGTGACGAATATTGCAAACTGCAAGATATTTGTAAATCTTATGCAGAACAATTAGACATGTTACAACAACAGGTGAAATAAATTAATCTAATATTTTTTAATTTTAAATAATTATATACATCTTATATTAAATAACAATAATAATAATTTTGAGCTTAAAATTAAAAATAATTTTAAGATTAAAGAAGAAAGAGAAAAAGTTAAAAAAATGGAAGAATCAAATCATTGTATAATACAACAGTTAGAAGAATACAAAAAAAAAAATTGTGATCTTGTTAAAGAAAAATCTACAATAGAACAAAGTAATTGTGAAATTGTTTCAGAGGTAAAAAAATATTTAATTATTTTCAAAACAAAATTTTTTAATATATAATTTCAGTAAGAATGATATAAAATGGATTTTCTTTAGTTGCAAGAAACACATAAATCATTGTTAGAATTAAAAAGGGAGTGCCAGTCAAAAAATAAATCTTTGGCTTGTATATCAGCAGAATTAACAGAGACAGCAATAAGTCGATCAGAACTTTGTAATCAATCACAATATGTTGTTTCATGTATACACATTTGGATGGAGGAACAACGAGAATATGTAAACAAACTTAATAGCAGGAATTAGTACAACTTGGATTTGAGAAAAAGTAAGTGTTTCCAGAATTTACAAAATTTTATTAATATTTTTAAAGGTGTGTAAGTTCAAAGTTACTAAAAATTTGTCAATAAAATAATTTGCAGAGCATTAATAGATGAAATAAAAAAATTAAAGCACATCAATCATGCATTACTGCAAAGACTAAAACGCATACATAAACATAGTAGCAGAAATGTTAGAAATGTTTGTGTAGGATGCCAAATATTACCAAAAACTGATATATGTCTCCCTGCAAGCTCTAAAAGTTTATCATCACAGAAGGTAAGTACATGTATAAAAATGGGTTCTTTATTTTTAGTGATTATCAAATATTTTAACTTATTTAGGATTTAATATTAAAAAATTTAAACTGTTAAAAACAATTCAATACTTTTAATATTTGATATATGAAATCTTGTAATTCGTGGTATAATTAAAAGAGAAATAATATTTGATGAAGCAGTAGTATGCAAATGAATTTACAAAATTAGAATATATTTTTATTTTAATTTACAGAAAATACCATTTCCTGTAATAAGAAATTATTCATATTTGTTTCTTAAAATTATTTACATTTAGTTTATTTTTTCATTTTAAATACTATTATTTTTTAACAATTATTGTTTGTTGTTATTACAATGATCTTTTATAAATCATACTATAGAGAAAAGAATTTGGTTTTTAATGACTTGTGTTTATCATTTTTTAAATTTTATTAAAATTAATTATCTAAAAATAAAATTTCTAGAAGTAAAAAATTATAATAGTGATAATAAACAACAGATATTAAAAGAATGATGTAATTCAATACATAAAATTAAAAAGAATTTTTTAAAGATGTAAAGAAAATAACTCTGAACTTAATGTGTTTTAATTGTTATTAATAATAACAATTGTATAAGTAATTTTTACTTATGTAAATATCTTCTGATAACATTAACTATTTATACCTTATCACTTTAATTATATTATGAATTATAAGGATTTTTTCATAAATCTTCATTCATTCAAATTTAAGTACTTTCTTTCATTTAGAAACTAAGTCTGATGAGGACAGCACAACGCATTTCAATGTGTAGTAATGGTTGGTGGATTCCTAGAATAAAATATTTAATAAATGGGTTGCAAAAAAATAATTTAGAATGTAGTGAAAAATGTTTTAACAGGATGAACACAGATGTGGGATCAGAAGAAAATCACGATTGCGGTTACCAATCATCTACTAGTAAATGAACATATGTGAAATGTTATGACTACTAAAAATGAATGAATTGTATTCTTTAATGAAAATACAGATAATTAAATTGTTTATTTATCAGATCTTTCTACATTGTATTCTACATAATAGAACTTCTTTGTATTTATATGGATGAATCAATCTGCAAATGTAAATGTACATTGAGTAAATAATTTACTTGTCATTGTGTATTTTCTTTATTCATTTTTCATAATTCAATTTTCTGGAGTATGTAATTTCAAAGTAAAGTGATAATTTGTATGACAAAGAACATGAAGTAATACAAGATTTTCCATGTATACTTTATGAAATAAATTAAACAAATGCTTACACTCGATTATATTAAATATTTCCAGACCTTTTGTAGGATACTAAAAATTACATATTGTAAACTGTTATAAATTTTTAATTATCAAATATTAGTATTGTGATAAAAGTTAGTACAAATACTTTCTATTTTTTCTATAATTTATGTGTAATAATAAATCATATATATAAAATTTATATTTTCTTTCTTCGACAAATTAAATATTAAATAAATAAAAACAATCATAATTTATTATTAATGGATGGTAATTGATGAATGTAATGAATAATCATTTGTTTATATAAGCAAAATTCAAAGTTTTTTAATAAATTATTATCCTATTATCAATTTTTTATTACTTTATAAAAATACCAGCAAACTATAATATTATAAGAAATTCTATTACAGCAAATGAAAGTTACTTTAAAAACTATAAGACATAATGTCTTCTATTTTTATTTATACTTGATAAAAACAATAGAAATTACTGAAATTAAACTAAAAATATATATATTCCTAGTTAAAATGTATATATTCTTAGTTCAATTTCACATATATAAAAGATACAAACTTTCTTAATTTGTTCAAAGAATTATTATTTAGAGCTTAATTATCATCCATTAGAAGAGAAATAGTATAAGTATTACATAATCTAATAAAAAGATATACAAACCAAAATAACATGTAGTAAAATTGTTTTATAAAAAAATAGATGAACTTCCTGAACGGTACACCATGGATAAGAAAGAAAAAATAAGTGCGTTAAATACACAATTCCCAAACATGCAGAAATATTTTTCTCACAGAATAAATTTAGCCTAAAATATAATTCATACATATTTCATTATGGATTATAATTAATTTTTGTAATATTTAATTTTAGAAAAATATATACTATGAACACGAAATTATTGCACGAATTAAATATCAAAATTATTTTTTTTTTTTTTTTGACATAATTTGTATTAAATTCTAGAAACAAATTCTTTATAAAAGTAATATACTAAAATACCTAGAAAACTTGAAAAATTCCCATAATATATTTATAAGAATAGTATTATTTTTCCCTGTAGTCTCATTTAATAATTTATTTTCTGCAAATAAATGATATTATTTTGTTTTACACATATAATTATTTACCAAAGTAACATTTATACTTATTTACCAAAAAAAGAACGTATTATGTCCTTATTTTCTTGATGTTTCTTGAGATAAACTATATCTTCTTCTGAAAAGTATTTCCAAATGCATAAACTTGGACGTGGTAAATCAACATATTGACTATAAAGAGGATTTTTTGAATAAACCCACGGTCCGCACAAATCGTCGTAATTTATGCCTGATTCGATTTGAATTTCTGAACAAATTTTTCGGAAAATTGTTCGAATCTTAGATATTGCACGTTCTGACAAAGTTGGCCATTTAATATTTACAATTGGTTTTAGTTGATCTTTCTCATCATTGTATGGAATACGATTCTCTGCTATAAATTGATTTAACATTATTAAATATTAGTTTTTATTAAAGAATAAGCTGTGTATATAAAAATTAGCTAAATACGAAAACTAAATTATTGATATTAATATTAATGGAGAAAATCAAAATCAATAAATTGAATGTTAGCTATTAACGGTTTGTGTTGATCGTGTTTTTTTCATGAAATATATATAAACATTCGAAGCATAAAATATTATATACATCATGTAGAATAATACATACATTCTATATATTATATAGAATAATACATATAAATGTGGATAAGTCTACAATTTCATGTAATATCTTTTAATATTGTTAAAATAATTTATGTAAATTGATGCAAACGCCTTCAAGCATCATATACATACATTTCCAACCATAGGATATCAATAACATAGAAATTATTTTTATATGCATCTAATTAATTTAATAGAGAATAATTTTTAAAATCATAATCATATTTACTACGGGAATTAGTGTAATTATAAAATGTTAATACACGTGCCATTATTAAGTATACATATATTATAATATATAAAGCTAAAACATGAAATAAAATGTTACATTTCCACTTTGTTAATTATATAAAGGCGATCATAAAATGCATAATTTATATTGTTTAAAGATACAATATTTTGATAAAAATTTCAAAAATTACGAATTTTCTATGTGAGTAATACAAAATTTACAGCATTATCATTTTATATTTAAAAAGACAAAATAAATAAAAACTTAAACTTTCTCAAATTTAAATGCATATTTTTGAAACAAACAAAGAAACAATAAATCTTCCAAATACTGCATAATAATGAGAAAATTCATTATAGAAATGCAAATATTTCTTCATTTTATTCTATTCAAAACTTAAGTTGACAATGATTTTTATATAAATACCAGGTTTTATTTTGATTACTCAGCATTTCAATTTTAGAATTTAAATTTGCTTCCTTCATAGTTTTTATACAATAGTATTGGATGATGTGTATTTGAACGAATCTTTGAAAGTTATTTGAATTCATTAAAATATTATTTAGATTGTTATTGACAATTAAAGTTTCATAATTCACAATGTGGGCTATTTATATTGAACATACTTCTATTTAAAATATGATTTGAAAATAAAAATCTAAAATGAAATGTGAAGCACACAAAAATATTCCCTAATGTAGTATAAGATTTTATAAAAACATTTTTTAACATGATAAACATCATACCTAATAAATAAATCACCAATGTAATTAAACAAAGCAACTACTTTCCAAAGTTATTATTTTACATGAAACTCGCTCCATTTATTTTGCTATAATTGCAAAATTATTTGTAAAACATTAAATAATTTTGGATAAGATGAAACGGTGAATTTGATGAAATCCTTAGTAATATTCACAAGTTTATTTTTTCTTGCGTAATCATTTATAATTTATCATGAATTATAAATCATATTTATTATATATGATTTATATTATAATCGTATTTATATATATTTATATATATATATGTATATATATATATATTTATATATTTATAACGAACACCGCCCATTACTACTAAAATTACAAATGGGAGCTTCATCTGTCTCTGTCTCTCTCTTTTTCTTCATTTTTTTTATTTTTTTTTTTTTTTTTAATTTTTTTCTGATAGATCTGATACTCAAAATAGATATCGTCGAATGTAATGTGATACACGTATTTTTTCATTAATCACTCAGGAAAAATGTTCGTCCTGCATAGTTCACCTCCCATTCCATTATACTGGTTTTTCCCATTGTTTTATATTCCACTCAAATTCATTGCCGACACACTCATGGTGTATTTATATTTGTTGATTATGGTACAAATCTGTAAGCAAAAAGTAGAGTGTGTCTTCTACAGTAATCTATTACATAAAATGTATCACTAAATACAACAATTATTTTTCAATTAATATATTATGCTTATAGAAAAATAGAATATACACTACAAAGTTATAGAATGGTATTAACTTTAACTAAATATTTCATACTATAGAGTTCATTATTGATATATAAAATGTTTGGAGATATTAAAAATTACAAATTACAAATACTCCTATGTTGAAATTAAACTAAGTCATTACATTTAATAACTATTAAAAATATTACATGTAATTTTAATAAAAATAATCTAATACATATCAATTAATACATACATATTAAACAATCATATTTCTTTTAATTAACAAGTATATAGTTTTTGTAAACAAGAAAATTTATATGTACAAAATAAATACTTATTTGAAATACATTACAAATAAATTATACTATAACTTAATGATAATTTCGTTTTTATTTAATTCCAAATGTAATTATGAAAAATTACTGTATACAATGTATGAATTATCACACCTTAATTAAATTGCTAAGTAATTTTAGTATTAAATAATTATATTACTACAATGCTATTTACCAAAATGTTTGAATAAGAAAGCATAATAACTCCATCCAACATTTAAGATAAATATAAAATAATGTATAAAACAAATAAGAAAATATTTGTAAAAATAATTCAACAAAAGGAAAACCCACATTGACAATTATAATTTGAATATCTATTCCAACTGATAACTAAATCATCTATGTTTATAAATATAAATAATATAAACACAATGATTACATTATTTGATGTTTTTAATTTATTTAATCAACGATTATATCAAAAAAGGTAATTATAATAAAGGAATAAAAAAAATTTAAACGTAGCCTAAAGAATGACTTATATTGTTGTATTAGAAATAATTGATAATGAAATTTCGATTAAAGCAGAAAAAACATAATTACAAGATTTTTGGTTTACATTATATAGTATATAAATAAAGATATTTTTCGATATACTTACAGCTGTACTGATTAAATTAATAAATTCATTTTTCAAATAAGAAATTAACATTTTCTTTAATGTCCTTTTATGACTTACAGTAGTAAATCTATAACAAGATTGTCAAAATATTACAACAATTTTTTTCTTCCTTGAATCTAATATTTATCTGAATAATTAATATTATAAAAGTATATTTTTCATGTTTTAATTTAATGATAAGTATAAAAATAAATAATGTAAGAATAATATATAATATTTCCAAACAAAGTATATATAATGTTATTTTGCAATAAAATTTTGCAGAATTTGATATACAATAAAAGAATTTCTTAAATTTTTATGTAAAATTTTAATCGTGTATTATTTTTAATCAAATGCATGTATATATAGAGAATAAAAATAAATATATATATATATATGTTTCATAACTATAAATGATAAAATACAATAACAGATTAATAAAGATATATAAGTAAAACCGAAAAAAGGGAAAACAAAAAAATACACTTGAATTACATATTATTATCCACTACAATAGTTGATATATGAAACTATGTAATGTACAATTATGCAAAAATAGTCTTATAGAAATGTAATTTTTTGTTTAATAAAATAGTTCATTAAATGCCAAAATACTTGGAATTCAATTCAATTTGAATTAATTTTATAATATTAAAAATGATTTTGTAATTATTAGAAAGTTATTGCCTAAACAAGTTACATATGGAATTCATGATACATATCCACATTACCTGTTATACCTTAAAGTTCTATAGAATTATATAAGAAAGTAATTATTAATGTAAAATATCAGTTTACTTAAATCTTTATCTTTTGCAATAATTATTATTTTATAGATTTTAATAATAATCCAAAATAAGGGAATATTAATTCAGATTTTGGTGTTTGCGTGACTTTTTTACTTATTTAATAAATATTAAAACTGAAATAAGTCAAAAGTACATGCAATAAAAATATTAAACATAACAAGAAATATACTACAGCAATATCTATCTACTCAAATATCCCATAAGATTAATACAAAAGTTTGCGTATAGTACCCACAAAATGTGTAAATTTTAACTTAGTTAATATCAACATATCTTTCTTAATTGCAAAATGATCATCAGTGTCTATTCAATATATACCTTAGAATTATAAAAATATGTAGATATAGTATATTGTTATATCAAATGCTGGACTCGTATTAGATGCATATATCAATTATTCTGTAACTTTTCATAGATATTATGTCTTTTACCACTGTTGATCACAAAGGTGTCAAACATTAACTTAAAAAAAAAAAAAAAAAAAA